GGGGAGGCGGGAGCCCCTCCTCCCCCCGTGCCACGGTGGTCCCAACCAGAATCAGGCCCACACAGCACTGTTGAAAGGAGTTCCCTTGTGGGAACGCACTGTGCAAAACGATGCCTCACCCCCGGGGCAAAGTGGCACTTAGATTATCCCCACACTGGAAACAGAAAATGAACGAATTAACTCATCTTCTTTGGCAGACTCATCATTCTAAGTAATCGTTCCAAATTGGGTGGATGTGTCTGCACGGACTGAACGAATCGTGGGAAATTCCAGGAGCTCCCAAAGCAGAATTTTTGCTCACAGGACTCCACAGCTTAGAGGGAGCATTGGTCAGGGCCCCTTTTCACTTTCTCGCGTATGCAGGTTGGGTCTGGGGTCCCCACTCAGCGTCCTGGAGTAACAGTCAGATGCAAGCTGCAGGTTCTCCTCAATTGTCACGTGTGGTTACTGATTCAGATTGCAACTGTGGTGCCTGTGAAAAAGGAACTTCAGTCTTTCTCTGTGTCATTTTGCTGAACTGAAACAGTCCGGGGGGGGGGGGGCAGTATTTGGCCCATAGACTTTAATCTGGGAGAACCGGGTTTGATTCCCCACTCCTCCACTTGCACCTGGCTAGATGACCTTGGGCAAGCCGTAGTTCTGATAAGAGCTGTTCTTGAAAAAAAGAGCAGTTTCTGTCAGAGCTCTCTCAGCCCCACCTCCCTCACAGGGTGTCTGCGGTGGGGAGGGGAAGGAGTTTGTAAGCTGCTCTGAGACTCCTTTGGGTAGTGAAGGGCGGGGTATAAATCCAATCTCTTCTTCTTCTTCTTCTTCTACCTCACAGGGTGTCGGTTGTAGGGAGGGGAAGGGAAAGGAGTTTGCAAGCCGCTCTGAGACTCCTTTGGGTAGTGAAGGGCGGGGTATAAATCCAATCTCTTCTTCTTCTTCTTTTACCTCACAGGGTGTCTGTTGTGGGGAGGGGAAAGGAAAGGAGACTGTAAGCTGCTCTGAGACTCCTTTGGGTAGTGAAGGGCGGGGTATAAATCCAATCTCTTCTTCTTCTTTTACCTCACAGGGTGTCTGTTATGGGGAGGGGAGGGGAAAGGAGTTTGTAAGCCGCTCTGAGACTCCTTTGGGTAGTGAAGGGCGGGGTATGAATCCAGTCTCTTCTTCTTCTTCTTCTACCTCACAGGATGTCTGTTGTGGGGAGGGGAAGGGAGAGGAGTTTATAAGCCGCTCTGAGACTCCTTCGGGTAGTGAAGGGCGGGGTATAAATCCAATCTCTTCTTCTCTTCTTCTTCTTTTCAGTGCTGTTTACCAAATTGCTGCTACTTCTGGGACAGAAAGGATTAAACTACTAAAACAGCTGCAGACTACAAAAACGTTCAGTGTCTGCCCCATTGGGGTGGAACTAGACTTCCCTTTCTCCTGGTGGGGACAGGGGCATCCTACATCCCCAGTCCCTGTTGCTTGCAGGCATTCCAGACAGCAATGTGTGTGTGTGTGTGTCTGTGTGTGTGTGACAGTATCACATACGTTGCCACATCACTTCTGAGGAGAACCTGGAAATGATGAAAGGTAGCTCTAGGAATCTCCAGATACCAACGTCGTGCCCACCCATGTCCCCACCCCCAACCTTCACGCACAACCTTACTCCTTAGGCACCAAGTAGGGTGATTGTCTACAGATGTCACACACACAAAAATTGGACACGAGCTCTAAAAAAAAAGAGGACAAGATATGCACAAAGTTCGCCTAGGCTGATTTATATTCATAAATGCAAATGTATACATCATTCCTATACACTGAAATGGAGCTACAAAACATCACAGTGCCAGCTTTGTCTGCTATCTGGATGCTAATAGTGGGCGAACCACTGCTACTCCCGACTTATGACTTAAAGTAGGGGTTATTTCATAGAAAAAGAGGTGCAGGAGCTCATTAGCATAACTTATTAGCATACCTTATTTGCATATGCCACTCCCCCTGACATCACTGGAAGTGTGTCAGAAGGCAACACCCACCACTCAGGCTCCACTTGCTCTTAAAGGTGCCACTGGACTGTTTTGGATTGCTAGCTATGGGGGGGGGGACGCACAGATCTGCCCTCACAGAGGAGGGAGAGCTTGTACCTGAAGGCGGGCCGGGGGATCTGCAACTTACCTGGCATCTTCTTGCTCCTCGTGGCCCGACTGAGGGCTGCTGGGAGCAGGGGGTGGGGCTTGTTGCATGTGCCCACCCCCTGGGCTCCTTACTGCCAGAGTTCCACTCCTGTGTGCTCCTGCAGGAAATGACCCCTGACTTAAAGTCTTTTGTTCACCTCCAAAAGCCCCGGTTAGGAGAGCAATTTTAAGGAGCTCTGCTCAGAAAGGAATCTCATGTTATTCATTGGGGTTTACTGTTAGGAAAGTGCTCTTAAGCTTGCTCAAGCCGCCCTGCTCCCAACAGCTAGTCACTCTGGGCCCCATGTTGGGTCGCCAGGCCTGGATTGGAAAATACCTAGAGACTTTGGGGGTGGATCCGGGAGAGGGCGGGGTAAAAATCTTTGCAACTTATCTTTATTGACTCTTCATTATTTTTGTCACGGATGTTGTTTTTTGGAATTCCACTTCTTCCCATGATCTCTCATTTTTGGCTTCCAGCTGGGATTCTTCAGAAATTGAGTCTCCAGAGCTGAGCCGATTCCTCATTTTGGGAGACCCTGGGCAGCCCCTCCTATGCCCGCTACCAGGCCCCCTTCTGGGCCCCCACCTGCTTGTTCATCCTTCCTCTGTCTACTCACAAGGTCTCACAAAGACAGCCAGTTTGGTGCGGTGGTTAAAAGCGGCAGACTCTAATCTGGGAGAACCGGGTTTGATTCCCCACTCCTCCACATGCAGCTGCTGGTGTGACCTTGGGTCAGTCACAAGTTCTTTCAGAGCTGTTCTCTCAAGGGTGGGGTACATACTGTGCCAAAGCCACTGTTTTGAGGGAAGGTAGTCTGCAGAACTGAATGAAAGTAATGGGATGAGAGACAACGTTCTAGAACTACTAGGCAAACTGGACACCAATAAGTCTACCGGTACCGATGGAGAGCCAGTTTGGTGTAGTGATTAGGAGCACGGACTCTAATCAGGGAGAACTGGGTTTGGTTCCCCACTCCTCCACATGCAGCTGCTGGCGTGACCTTGGGTCAGTCACAGTTCTCTCAGAGCTGTTCTCTCAAGGGCAGTCCTCGGGAGAGCTCTCTCGGCCCCACAGCTACCTCAGAGGGTGTCTGTTGTGGGGAGGGGGAGGGGAAAGGAGACTGTCAGCCACTCTGAGGCTCCTTATAAATCCAATCTCCTCCCCCTCCCCCCCCATCTGCACAAATGCCCACATCCCCTGCATGCCCTTTTCCTCGATGGTTCTGGGTGCAGTTAGGAGTGTCATTGCCATGACAAGTGGGAATGCTGATGCTTCGTGCACCCTGCGCATGCCCTCTTCCAGTGGTGCTCGGCAGCAAGTGCAGCTGGGAACGCATGTGGCAAAGCACTCACGAGTGGAAGGGGATTAGAGGGGATGCATGGGTAGGGGGTCAGCACAGTGGGGGCCCCCCCAGAAGCCAGGGACCCCAGCAGCTCCCCCACCTCAGAGTATGCTGACGCTGGCCCTGCTCCACAGCCAGTTTTACTGAACAGAAGCAGAAGTCAGAGTTTTCAGAGATCCGGACTCAGGGTTGCCTAGCAACCGGTGGGGAATGGGAGGACCAATCAGGAGCGGGAGGGAGGCCCAGGCCACATCAGCAGTGACGTGGTGACCTCACTTGCGGCATGTACCAGAAGTGACAGCATCACGTCAGAACGTCCCAGTGATGCTCTGGCATTTGGGCAAAAATTCTGTGGAGAAAATGGGTTCTACCATAGAGTTTTTGCCCAAATACTAGAGCATCCCCCAGAAACCGCCAATGTGATGACATCACTTCCGGTACACGCTGGAAGTCACATCGCCACGTTGCCGACAACGTAGCTTGGGCCTCCCCCCTGCTACCAGTAAGTCTCCCCACCAGCCAGCTTATTTGGGGGGGTGGAGGCGGGGACCAAGGACCCTCCGCCTCCAGCGGGTGGCTGGCAACACTATCCAGACTCCAAAAATTGGCCTGTCCCCTGGAAAACATCTGACCACACTAAACTACCGCTAAGCCATGCTATATATTTGAAACTGCTGGGCTACATTTGTGAGTTGGACTCCTAAAACATGCTCATCCTTACGACACTCTTGCCAAAACAACAACCGCCACAAAAAATTGAACAGCTGTTCTCCCGCATTCCTTTTCTACCTTTCAATAATCGTTCCTAGGTAAAGGTAAAGGTTCCCTTGCTCGAAAGCCAGCCGAATCCGACTCTAGGGTTGCGGTGCTCATCTCCGTTTCAAAGCTGAAGAGCCAGCGCTGTCCGAAGACGTTTCCGTGGTCATGTGGCCGGCATGACTAAACACCAAGGCGCACGGAATGCTGTTACCTTCCCACCGAAGTATCTACTTGCAATTTCTTGCTTTCGAACTGCTAGGTTGGCAGGAGCTGGAACTAGAGACGGGAGCTCACTCCGTCTTGCGACACCCGGGTCTCGAACTGCTGAACTACTGACCTTCCACAGCCTGCAGTTCAGCGTCTTTAACCACTTGAGCCACAGCAGCTCCTACCTTTCAATAATTGTTTCTTCTTATTTTAACTTGCTGAGTGCCGCTGTTCTAGCCAATTTGTTCTCCGAGCCTGTGCTGTATCCAAGACTTGGCTGCCTTCCATACGATAAAATCATTGCTGTCTTCTCACTTCCTTATCTGAAAGTGAAACTATTCAGTTGATTTATGAGAAACGGGAGATTTTCCCTAAAAGGGAGCACGTTTCCTCTGCTCCGGTTGGGGATTCCCCCAAATCCACTTGGACTGGACATTCCCTACTGAGAACAGCTGACCAGGCTTCGGGCCAATCAGGTTTGAGGAGGGGAAAAGAGGTTCGCTATAAATTCTCCCCTGGAATTCAAACACCCAGCAGGCATCAAAAGACAGGAGATCACAAAGGTTCTTTCACCATCATCACCATGAACCAAGTCTTTGCCGTTTTCCTTTGCGCAGCCGTCTTGCTTGTGACAGGCATTCAAGGTGAGTAACGAAAGCGGAAGGATAGAGGGTTTGGCACGTAGACAGGGATGCCAGCCTCCAGGTGGGGACTGGGGATCTCCCTGAATTACAGCTCATCTCCGGACTGCAGAGTTTATAAAATTATGCACGGGGTGGAGAGAGTTGACAATGAGAAGTTTTTCTCCCTCTCCCAAAATACTTGAGGGCATCCAATGAAGCTGATGGGCAGTAGGTTCAAGATGGACAAAAGGAAATACTACTTTACACAGACGGGGATTCGAATGTGGGATTTGCTGCCCGAGGATGTAGTGATGGCCAAAGCAAGAAACTGCTTTAAAAGGGGATTAGATAGATTCATGGAGGATAAGTCTATCAATGGCTGAGGGGAACCTCCACATTCAGAGGCACTAATCCACTGAAACCCAGAGCCAGGAGGCAACATCAGGGGAAGACCAGAACCAATGGGTTGAAATTAAATCAGAAGTGTTTTCGGCTAAACATTAGGAAGAACTTCCTGACAGAGCTGTTCCTCAGTGGAACAGGCTTCCTCGGGAGATGGTGGGCTCTCCTTCTTTGGAGGTTTTCAAACAGAGGCTAGGTGGCTATCTGACAGCAGTGCTGATTCTTGGGCAGATCACGAGAGGGAGGGCAGGAAGGGTTGCCTCAGTGCTTAGTTCTTGTGGCCTTTTCCTACATACTCAGGGAAATGCTAATCGCCACTTTGGGGTCAGGAAGCCATTTTTCTCCAGACCAGTTTGGCTGGAGATCCTGGAGGTTTTCTGTCATCTTCTGGGCATGGAACAGCAGTCACTGGGGGTGTGTAGGGGGAGGTATTTGTGAATTTCCTGCCTTGGACTAGATGACCCTGGAGGTCCCTTCCAACTCTTATGATTCTATGACTAAGACCTCAGCCTCTCTGCCCTGTTGTTGGCCCTCCAGAGGAACTGGTTGTCCACTGTGTGAGACAGGATGCTGGACTAGATGGATCACTGGTCTGATCTAGCTCTTCTTATGTGTATGTGAACCAGCCTCAACAATCTGCTCCAATCATTTGTCTCTTGTGCTTGCAGTAACGTCTCAATCTTTTAAATTCATTTTGTTTTTAGGCATCCCGACTTCTGGGAAGGGACGCTGCATATGCCCATCCATGGGTTCTAATTTTGTCCCCAGGAAACCTTTGGGGAAAGTGGAAGTGTACGCTGCGAATGCTTCCTGCGATCGCGTGGAAATCATGTAAGTCAGGAGCCCCCAACTTTATAAAACCTATGAGCGCGATTTGAAATTTGAGAACAGGAAGTAGGCATCACAACAAAATGGCTGCTGGGGATCAGGGCTAATCACAAAATGGCTTCCAGGGAGGCCGGGTCTGACCTAAAGATGGAAGCAGGTTCCGCAAAACATTAGGGGATTCCAAGATTCCTGAATAAGCACTCCCTCAGCACACAAAAGGAGCTGCGGTGGCTCAAGTGGTTAAGACGCTGAACTGCAGGCTGTGGAAGGTCAGTAGTTCAGCAGTTCGAGACCCGAGTGTGCCGCATGACGGAGTGAGCTCCCGTCTCTAGTTCCAGCTCCTGCCAACCTAGCAAGAAATCGCAAGTAGATAAATAGGTACCACTTCGGTGGGAAGGTAACAGCGTCCCGTGCACCTTGGTGTTTAGTCATGCCGGCCACATGACCACGGAAACGTCTTCGGACAGCGCTGGCTCTTCAGCTTTGAAACGGAGATGAGCACCGCAATCCTAGAGTCGGATTCGACTGGCTTTCGAGCAAGGGAACCTTTACCTTTACCGCAAACAAAAGTGATGGTTCTCAGGCACTTTTGAAGCACCTTCTGCCCCAACAAAGCCTTTTCTTGTCTCCAGATGCAGACCCGTGGGGAGGGGGGACTTGGATTTATGAGCATCTGGCAGTTATTGGTCTTCCTTGCCATTGTGTATTCCTGTGAGCTGGGGGTTGCCAGCCTCCAGGTGGGGCCTGGAGATCTTCTGGATCCATTCTTTCAGTAGACCATAGAGATCAGTTCCCCTAGAGAAAATGGCAGCTTTGGAGGGTGAATCAGGATTCCCATTTGTCCACTTATGTTGGGAGACCTCCACCAACGACAGTCATTGCTTGATTATGGGCAAAAACTGTGGATAATGTAGTGGGAGTGATCATCCTGGAGAGAAAAAAAATTTAAAAGAAAAAATGGGCCTTGGGTACTTACAAGAAGTTCTGACCACAGAGCGCCTGGTGATTCCTAGAGCTACCTGGAAGTGACAAGGTAATCCTACCATAGATTGCCTCCCAATTGCTAGAGCTACCCTTGTAACTACTGGGTAGCTCTAGGGATCGCCAGGAACTCTATGGTCAGAAATCCTGAAAAGTAGCCTAGGCCTTATTTTACTTTTTAATTTTTCTCTCAGGATGCCATCCCTCCCACAGTTCTTCCACTGGTTGCCAGGCACTGCCTGGTAACCCTGGGGTGGACTCTGTGGCATTATATCCCTGCTGAGTTTCACCTCCCCAGGCTCCACACCCCCAATCTCTAGGAATTTCCCAGACGGGAGGTGGCAACCCTTCCGGACATCCATGTTCCGTGACCAGATTCTCTTTTGCTGGTTCTGCTTCGCGGCCAAAATAGCAGCTGCCTTTTTAAAGAAGGAAGGTGGGCCGTAATCATGAGGACTTTGTCCATTCCTTTCCAGCGTCACGCTGAAGACCACCGGAGAGCAACAGTGCCTGAACCCGGATTCGAAGGCCGTGCAAGCCATGTTGGCAAGGATCGCGCAAAACAGGTACGCAGACGGCGAACGATCCCCACGCTCGCCACAGATAATCCCGCTATTGTTAAAAGGTCTAAAATGTGTTATTTATTGTGTCCAGCTAAGACCATGGGGCCAAACCACATGGAATTTTTTTTTAAACGTCAAGTAAGGAGTCCCCATGCCAGTTTTGTTCTCCTCAAAGCGCTACGGCCAATGCTCCCTCTAAGCTGTGGAGTCTCGTGAGCACAAATTCTACTTTGTGAGCGACTGGCATTAAAAGTTGAGAGCGAGCGATTTGGCGGCTGCATCGGTTCAGCTTGCTCTGGAGCCGTCCTTCCTGAGCCAGAGGCTAAAAAACTGTGAGCTAGCTCAAGCTAACTCAGCTTAGAGGAAACAGTGCCGACAGCCACTGTGGGTAAAGCCTGTTGGGAATTTTTTGCACAACTTTGGATCCATTTTTTTTTAATGCCCTGGGGAGTTTGGTTATTCCCCCACACACACTGCCTTTTCGTTCCATTCTTCCTTCGAGGAATTTGGAGTGGTTTATACGGTCTCTGGCCGGTAACCTGGAGGGCCGATCTCTCTTCCTTCTCCTCCCCTCCCCCCAGCACCACAGCCCTGAGGTGATTTACGCTCTGCAAGATCACTCTCTTTCCATTTTCAAAACGGCTAAGAGGATCCATCCCCCCCCCCACTGGGGAAAAGGTGGGACATAAATAAAAGAAATAAAAATATTTTTTTAAAAAAATCTGGTGCCTTGAAGCTGGCTTGGCCATGCTACATGTGGGTTGCAGGCAAGGCTCCCTCTAAGCTGTGGAGTCTTGTGAGCAAAAATTCTACTTTGTGAGCGACTGGCATTAAAGTTGCGAGCGAGCGATTTGACTACTGCATAAATCACTTTGCTCTGGAGCCATCCCTTCCTGAGCTAAGACCGAAATGTTGCAGGGGAAGGACTGGTAGGCTGGCATGAAAATGCTTCCTCTAAACCAGTGGTGGCGAACCTTTTAGAGACAGAGTGCCCAAACTGCGACCCAAAACCCACTTATTTATTGCAAAGTTCCAACACAGCAAATTAACCTGACTCCCGAGGTTTTACTTTAGAAAAAACAACTCATACATTAACTTAAGATGATCCAAACAAAGCAAGGAAAGCAATCCCAAATGCTTTCATTTACTTACAATTATTTGCCAGAGAATTTGACACTTTAATGATGGTCTGGGCCTGGCTGGGGTGATGGCACATGTGCTCACAGAGAGGGCTCTGAGTGCCACCTCTGGCACCTGTGCCATAGGTTCGCCACCACTGACCTAAACACCTTTCTGCACTGTGTTAATAGGACGAGCCACTGATAATTGTGCTCCTGACAACTTCTGCTTCATTTGTTCTTTCAGGGCTTCCGGAAATGCCATGAGGAGAGGAAAAGGAGCGGCCGGTAGGAGTTCCCCGCAGTAGAGCAATGGACGGGGCGTGATTTTGGTCGCCAGCAGGATTTCTGAAGAAGCAAGGGTGAAGATGATGAAGAGGAATCCAGTGGACGTCTCTTGCTAGTATGGTGGTCTTTTTAAAACCACAGTTGCAGCGCTGGCACCTGGGCTTGCATTGATCTAGCAGTTACTTTACTGAACGGGTAACATCTGCTTGTTCTTGACAGCTCTGCTGGTACAGTGACTAAGAGACTAGGTGTCAGCCAGAAAGTCCTTATGGGGTGGGCTTGCACATCTCTCTGTCACAGAATCTGACATTTGGAGACGACAGTCCTGTCTTCCCAGGTGTATTACTGGCATTAGCGATATATCACAGGTCGAAGCCCTCTTTGACAATCTAAAGCACTCTGGTCAATTTGTACGGAAGGGAGTTTAAGGCAGTATCTGTCGCCCCCTGCAGGCCATATGTGTTTACAGTATTCCTCTGACACACACACACACCCCAATTGATTCTATTGACTCTATAGATTCTTAAAATACCTGTTAAAAGAAATGAATTTAGGAAGCAGTGTTTTAAGATGTGTACTGTTCCATCTCGTGGGCATTCAGTTCTCTGTTGTACATACTGCTACAAGTGTCGTGTAACCCAGATCTGTAGTTTTTCCTCTTTGGGACTTTTCTTTAAAAATAATCAGAATGTTTGTAGTGTAGAGCTCGCAATGGATTGAAAAGGTACCGACAGCTAACTTTTCTTATTATAAAATGCACAATGTACATAGTTTAAAAAAACATGGTCTGATGCTCTGTTTGTAGAAATACGAGGGATTTTTTGGGTAAGTCTTTGGGGTTTTTTATAGTCTTGCTTTCATTATTAAATGGTTTCTGCTTTAGCAATCTGTGTTTGTTTTTCTTCGTTTAACAAATTGATGGGACACAGCTGGGGGCTGTGATGCAATTTTTCTCCAGGCCAGTTTGGCCGGAGATCCTGGAGGTTTTTTGGCACCTTCTGGGCGTGGAACAGCAGTCACTGGGGGTGGGGTGGGGGAGGAATGTGTGAATTTCCTGCATTGTGCAGGAGGTTGGACTAGATGACCCTGGAGATCCCTTCCAACTCTACGATTCTATGGCAGCGTGGTGAAAGAGGATACAGAGAACATTGGCTCTTTCTCCCACAATACCAGGACCAATGAAATAGACATACAATAGATTCAGGTCAAGCAAAAAGACATAACACATAATTAAGTGTATGGGTGCCAACTCCAGCTTGGGGAATTCCTGGATATTTGGAAGCAAAGTGTGGGGGAGGGCAGAATTTGGGGAGTGGGAGGAGCTAGGGCCTGCCTAGGAAGGCATGGGGGGCAGGAGCATTTGGGGGCAAAGAGTGGGGGGAAGAGCATCTCACAATACCCCCCCCCCAAGTTTCGCTACTCTTTTTCGGTTATATATATTTTTATTTTTAAAAAACCAAGATAATATAAAAGAGTTACAGAAACAAAGGGGTCACATAGGGATTACAGAACAGATTATACTTATCAAAGGTGATTATGCTTACAGGCTGTATTAAACAAAGAAGTAAAGAACTACTTCTCCCCAACATCCCCTTCGTTATAATTTTTAAAACATTTCCTACAATAGTTCCATCATTAAGTACATTTGATGCATCTATGATCTTTCACTAAGGAGAAAAATAACTGTTTATTTAGTGTAATCATCAAGAAAAGACTTTAAAAAACTATAATTGCCTATGGCTGGAGTTGATCATGGTCCGAAAACGTTGCTGTGAATCATCTCCAGAAGTCCCTCAGTCTTCCCAGCAAGGAAAGGCACCATTTTCTTCTTCCTACTATAACCCAAACCCATTTTTATTCAATCTTCCAACATGTTTTAAATTGGAGGACAAACAGAGCGGCTTTCATTAAAATGCCTCTGCTGCCATCTTGTGGCAACTTGTAGCACTGCAACCCTAACCCTTTCAGTATGCAATCAAGAAGGTATCATTGTTCCCAAGACAATCGTTCCCAAGATCTCTCCCAGCCAGCTTGGTTAAAAAACACTCTCTGGTGTTTGGTGTTTGGTGCTGGGGCAGGTCACCCCTGAATATACCTGGACAACTTTAAAGTTCTTGTTTGGGTAATTCCGGCTTTGAAAACTACTTCTCTGATCGCTTTGGTGTCTGCCTCTATTCTCCGGGCAACTGGCTATCTTATGGCCTGTCTGTCCACAGCCAAAACAGCGTTTATCCGGCTTCTTCCTGGAGCCGTGAAATTGCTCTCCCGGCCTTGGTTGGGTCACCTGGGCCGCGTAACCTCTGCCATCGCTCTCCCAGCGGGTGTTTGTAAATGACCCCTTTCCCATTGCAACTCTGCGGGAGCTTTCTGAAATCTCCACAGCCAATACCTGTGCAGCAGCTTCGAAACTGATTACCCCTTTAGTTAGCAACTTACTGACCGCCGGTGCAAAACGTGCCGGCAAACTGCTTAGAAGCACGCTCAGCTTCTCGTCCTCCGTTAAACCATCTCCAACGCCCTGAGCCCACAGTTCATCAAACATTCCTCTTAGCTCGTTAATGTGAGTATCTAACGAACCCCCTGCGTTATAGCGTATAGCATACAGCTTATCATAAAGGGCAGCCTTTACAGCCCACCTGCATCTTTCACAAATCTGCCCGAGGAGTTTATAGACCTCTCTGGCTGTCTGCGGCCCTCTCAGTTGTAACACGCATTTGTCGCTCACGAAACTCAGAATCCGCACTCGCGCCCTGAGGTCCTTTTCGTTCCAAGCGGCTTTCGTGGCGGCATCCGCAGGAAGATCCCCCGTGATCACGTCATACAGTCCTTCAATTTCCAAAGCACACTCCATCATCGTCATTGTGTAAAAAGAGACGGTCTCTGGGCAATTGAATAGTTGATGGCTCGTCTGCCCACAGCCGGAACAGCGGCTACCTTGCCCCCGCCTGGAGGTGTGAAATCGCTCTCTCTGCTTGGGTTGGGTGACCTTGGTCCTGGAACCTCTGCCTTTGCTCTCCCAGCGGGCGTTTGTAAGTGACCCGTTTCCAGTAAAAACTTTGTACGCAGTTTCGGAAATCTCCTTCGCCAATTCGGTCGCAGCGGCTTGGAAACTCATGATCCGTTTGGACTGCAAGTGTCTGACGGCGTGCCCAAGACTCGCGGGCAAGCTGGCAAAAAGCGTGCATAGCTTCCTCCTCTCTGTCAGCTCATCTCCGCAGTCCTCCAGTTCAGCAAAGATTCCCGCTAGCTGGTTAACATGAGCGTTGAACGAGTCCCCTTCCTTGTACCGTACGGAGGATAGCTCAGCATTAAGGGGAGGCAGCAGAACCGGCCAATTTGTTTTGTAGCATTGCTCAAGAATCTCGTACCTCTCTCGGGCGGTCTTGTCCCCTAGCAACATCACATGATCGTCTTTGCTCGCCCAACTAAAAATCAGCATTCGCACCAAGAGGTCCTTTTTGTCCCAAGCGGCTCTCGCAGCAGCATCTGTCGGAGGATCCCTTGTGATCACGCTCAGCAATCCTCTAGATTCCAGCTCCAAATCAAACCTCATTTTCCACACAGAGAAGTTCCCAGATCTTAAAACCGTGAGGCGATATTTCCCCATAGTGTCCATGGTTCTATCCCAATAAAATTCAGGCTTCTCTTGCTCTGACACCTCTTCTCTTTCTCGCTCTCTCTCTCCTTGTCCTGAAGTCGCGCTTTTGTTCCCTGGTCAAACTGCTAGCCGCAGGCTCTCGAAGCTGCTGAAAACAGATTTAGTTAATGGAGCATTTTTAGTACTGGGCACCATGACCTGTTAGGCAGCGTGCATATCAGCAGGGTGGAATTGCATTCACCGCTTAGGAAAGAAAAGTCACGTGTAGCCTCTTCTTTATCTTAGCAGACTAGGATAAGTCCCTTATTATAAAGAACTCCATTCAGGACAGAGTAGAAACAGCATTCTTAACTAAAAGAAGAGGAGGAGACGGGATTATACCCCGCCCTTCACTACCCGAAGGAGTCTCAGAGCGGCTTACAAACTCCTCTCCCTTCCCCTCCCCACAACAGACACCCTGTGAGGTAAAAGAAGAAGAGATTGGATTTATACCCTGCCCTTCACTACCCAAAGGTGTCTCAGAGCGGCTTACAAACTCCTTTCTCTTCCCCTCCCCGCAACAGACACCCTGTGAGGTAAAAGAAGAAGAAGAAGAGATTGGATTTATACCCCGCCCTTCACTACCCAAAGGAGTCTCAGAGCGGCTTACACACTCCTTTCCCTTCCCCTCCCCGCAACAGACACCCTGTGAGGTAAAAGAAGAAGAAGAGATTGGATTTATACCCTGCCCTTCACTACCCAAAGGTGTCTCAGAGCGGCTTACAAACTCCTCTCCCTTCCCCTCCCCACAACAGACACCCTTGGGAGCAGTGTTCCCTCTAAGCTGAGTTAGTGTGAGCTAGCTCACAGTTTTTTAGTGTCTGGCAGACACATTTTTTGTCTCAGCTCAGGAAGGAGGGCTCCAAAGCAAACTAATTTATGCAGCAGTCAAATGGCTCGCTCACAACTTTAACGCCAGTAGCTCACAAAGTAGAATTTTTGCTCACAAGATTTCACAGCTTAGAGGGAGCATTGCCTGTGAGGTAGGTGGGGCTGAGAGAAACTGCTCAAAAGCCAGTTTGGTGCAGTGGTTAAGTGCGTGGACCGTAATCTGAGAGAACTGGATTTGATTCCCCACTCCTCCACTTGCAGCTGATGGATGACCTTGGGCAAGCCATAGTTCTGTCAGAGCTGTCCTTGAAAGAGCAGTTCTTGAAAAAGCTCCCTCAGCCCTACCTACCCCACAGGGTGTCTGTTGTGGGGAGGGAGGAGGAGGAGGAGATTGGGTTTATACCCCGCCCTTCACTACCCAAAGGTGTCTCAGAGCGGCTTACAAACTCCTTTCCCTTCCCCTCCCCACAACAGACACCCTGTGAGGTACAAGAAGAAGAAGAAGAGAGTGGATTTATAACCACTACACCAAACTGGCTCTCAGTTTGGGGAAGGGAAAGGAGATTGTAAGCCACTCTGAGACTCCCTTGGGTAGTGAAGGGCGGGGTATAAATCCAATCCCTTCTCGTTTTCTCTTGAGAGAACAGCTCTGAAAGAACGTGTGACTGACCCAAGGTCACACCAGCAGCTGCATGTGGAGGAGCAGGGAAGCAAACCGGGTTCTCCCAGATTAGAGTCCGTGCTCCTAACCACTACACCAAACTGGCTAAACTAGGATGGACAGAGATACGGGGAGAGCGCGTTTTTGTTCCGATGGTGGTGAAACGGAGAAGAGAATGGCTGATTTCGCACTGGAGCTGCCTCGATGTTGCGCCGCCGTTTGCCCTGATACTATTGGTCAATTTCACACCTGAAGCCGCGGGGCTACATTTTGACCCGCAGCTTCGCCCGATTTCCCCCGCAGTGTCGTGATCCTCAAAAAACAGGATCATGAAACTGCGGGGAAAATCGGGCAAAGTCAAAATGCAGCCCCGTGGCTTCAGGTGTGAAATTGACCAATAGTATCAGGGCAAACAGCGGCGCAACATCGAGGCAGCTCTAGTGCGAAGTCAGCCGGTGAGAGAGACCCAGAAGAGAAGGAAGATTTGCTGAAGGCAGCAATCTAGAAGAGAAGAAGAAGAGAAGAGACTGGATTTATACCCTGCCCTTCACTACCCAAAGGTGTCTCAGAGCGTCTTACAAACTCCTTTCCTTTCCCCTCCCCACAACAGACACCCTGTGAGGTATGTGGGGCTGAGAGAGCTCTTGACACAAACTGCTCTTTTTCAAGAACAGCTGTGCCAGGACTACGGCTTGCCCAAGGTCATATCAGCAGCTGCAAGTGGAGGAGTGGGGAATCAAACCCGGTTCTCCCAGATTAGAGTCCGCACACTTAACCACTACACCAAACTAGACATCAAGGTGACAGCAGCGGAGCAGTGAACAGGAAGGATACGCAGGACTGTGAGCTATCTGTCTCTCTGGGTCTACAGCCCCCACCCTCTGAAGTCTTGGTGTGCATGAAGACTATGGGGCATCACACTGTCCTTCACTTTCAGTGGATTAACCCTCCGCAAATTTAGCTCCTCAGCGGGCTAAATAATTCTCTCTTGAATAACAATTTCTGCTAATCTACCTGAAACAGATGTTAGGCTGACTGGCCTGTAATCTCCTGGATTCCCCCTGTACCCCTTTTTAAAAATTGGAGTGTGATCTTTTGCTATTTAGTTATCCAGCACAGAGGTCAGTTTTAGAGACAAGTAGTCTATACTGGTTAGCAGACCAACAATTTCACATTGGAGTTCTTTAAGAGCCCTTGGGAAGAAGGAGGAGGAGGAGGAGATTGGGTTTATACCCAGCCCTTCACTACCCGAAGGAGTCTCAGAGCGGCTTACAAACTCCTTCCCCTTCCCCTCCCCACAACAGACACCCTGTGAGGTAGGCGGGGCTGAGAGAGCTCTGAGAGAACTGCTCGTGAGAGAACTGCTCTGAAAGAACTTGTAACGGACCCAAGGTCACACCAGCAGCTGCATGTGGAGGAGTAGGGAATCAGACCTGGTTCTCCCGGATTGGAATCCACGCTGTAGGGTTTTCAAGGCTAGAGATGAACAGAGGTGGCTTGCCATTGCCTGCCTCTGCACCATGACCCTGGTATTCCTTGGAGGTTTCCCATCCAAGTACTGACCAGGACCAGCCCTGTTTATCTTCCAAGATCTGAGAAACTCGGGCTTGCTTGGGGTCCCACCTTATCCCAAATCCCACCATGCCCCGACTCCAACCCAAACCAGGAATTTCCCAACCCTAGACTACAGCACCTTTGTATTCAGTAGTCAGAACATTGGAACTTGGGATGGGGGAGGAATAAGAACATAAGAGAAGCCATGTTGGATCAACACTTTGTGTTGCACAGTGGCCAAAAACCAGGTGCCATCAGGAGGTCCACCAGCGGGGCCAGAACTCCAGAAGCCCTCCCACTGTGCCCCCCCCCCAAGCACCAAGAATACAGAGCATCACTTCCCCCGGACATAGTGTGTTTCCTTTGTAAAGGTAACGGTTCCCTTGCTCGAAAGCCAGTCGAATCCGACTCTAGGGTTGCGGTGCTCATCTCCGTTTCAAAGCCAAAGAGCCAACGCTGTCTGAAGACATTTCCATGGTCATGTGGCTGGCATGACTAAACACCAAGGCACATGGAATGCTGTTACCTAAGTGGTACCTATTTATCTACTTGCAATTTCTTGCTTTCTAACTGCCAGGTTGGCAGGAGCTGGAACTAGAGACGGGCGCTCACTCCGTCATGTGGCACACTGGGGTCTCGAACTGCTGAACTACCGACCTTCCACAGCCTGCAGTTCAGCGTCTTAACCACTTGAGCCACCGCAATGCCTCTCGTTTCCTTGGTACTTTGTGACTAGTAGCCACTCATGGACCTCCGCTCTTAGAACCTAAGAGAAGCCATGTTAGATCAGGCCAATGGCTCATCCAGTCCAACACTCGGTGACCAAAACCCAGGGGTCATCAGGAGGTCCACCAGTGGGGCCAGAATTCCAGAAGCCCTCCCACAGCTGATTTCCAAGCACCAAGAATACGGAGCATCACTTGACCCAGACAGAGTGTTCCATCTATACCTTGTGGTTAATAGCCACTCATACATCTCTGCTCTTAAGAACATAAGAGGCTCCATGTTCAACACGCTGTGTCGCAGAGCGGCCAAACCCCAGGTACCCACCTCCACCAGTGGGGCCAGAAGCCCTCCCACTGTTGCCCCACAAGTACCAAGAGCCTCACTGCCCCAGACAGAGTGTTCCATCTATACCTTGTGGCTAAGAGCCACTTACGAACCTCTGCTCTGGAGACTTAGGGATGCCAACCTCCAGGAGGGGCCTGGAGATCCCCTAGACTACAGAGATCAGTTCCTCCTGGAGAAAACTGATGCGTTGGAGGGTGGACTCTCTATGGCATTGTACCCCACTGAGGTTCCCGTCCTCCATCCCCAAATATCCAGGAGTTTCCCAACCTGGATCTGGCAAGCCTACCCCCCTCCCGTCCCCTGCTAGTGGCTGGAGAGAGGGGGGGGGCGTTCTTTGCAACCCTAGGAGAAATAAGAGTTTGGATGTTTCCCCCTATATCAGAGAACATCCACCAGTGGGTCCAAAGCACGCAGCCCGTCCGCAGCTGACCATCATTTCATACGAATTTCTTGCAAGCACCGAACGGTCTTGCATCTAAACTTAATCGTAGTTACCTGAAGTTCCAGCGTGAAGTTCCAGCTACAGTCGCGCCACAAAGTGGAGGCGTGCCGAAGAGGCTTGCGGTCGAAGGAGGAGTGACCCTCCGCGGGAGCCGTAGAGCGCCGTCCGAGAGCCACGTGGTCCAAGATGGCGGCGCCCAGGTGACGCTCCATGTGGGTGTTCCGGGAAGGGAAGCGGCGGGGGGACTGAGGCTGTGTCGGAGGGCGCTTCGCAGCCATGGCCGGTCGCCACAACAACAAGCTGCCCAGCAATCTGCCGCAGCTGCAGAACCTGATCAAGCGCGACCCGCCGGCTTACATCGAGGAGGTGAGAGAGGTCGCTTTGGGGACGGTTCTCAGCAGAGGGAGAAGAGGAGTCGCTCCGCTTTGGGTCGGGGGAACCCAGCTCTGTATGGCTCGTTCGTACTTGATGCTTAGCACTTGTAAAGCAGGATGCTAATAGGATTGCCAACCTCCAGGTGGTGGCTGGAGACCTTCCGCTATATTAGCTTATCTCCAGGTGACAGACACCAGTTTACCTGGAGAAAAAGGCCACGTTGGAAGTTGGACTCTATGGCATTATGCCCCCGAGCCCCGTCCTCTTCAGACTCCACCCCAAATCTCCAGGTCTTTCCCAACTTTGAATTGGCAACCCTAGATGCTTAAAGAGTACATTTCAGAACGAGCAACGTTCCCTTCACGGCTGAGCGAAGGGGGAGTTGAAAGAGTACATCTGAGCGTGTGCAGAGTTCTCACCGGGGTTGGATTCACAAGTGTCGGCATTCGTGGCTGCGGCTGGGGGCGGGGCTGGGCTTCTTTAGTCGTAAGCTGTGGCAGCCAGCCTTTCTTGAAACTTGGTTGTTTTTGGAGTTCTTGTTGGAAATCCAGTGCTGGATTTCAGAGATAAGTAGCGAGGGTAGGGATGGGGCGGTAAGGGTGCCAACCTCCAAGTAGAGCCTGGGTACTTACAAAATTACGACTGATCTACAGAAGACAGAGACAATTTCTTGTGGAGAAGATGGCAGCTTTGGAGAGTGGAATCTATGGCCTTATACATTGCTGAGGTTCCTCATCTCCCCAAATTCATTCATTCCTGGGCTCCATCCACAAGGAACTTCCCAGCCCAGAGTAGGCAAGCCTAGGGAAGGACTTGTTGTTTTGAGGTGGTATCGCATAAACACGTGCTGCCTTCCACTGAGTCAGATCCTTTGACTGTCAAGCTAAAGAATAAATGGACACAAATCAGGTATCAGGATGGAACCACAAAACTGAGACACCTGTCTCAGATCATTTCAGCCTCGCAGGGTGCATGTGGGGGTGAGGTGGGGGACCTCAAAATAGCTGTTTTAGTGCAGAGGAATTTCAGAAACAGACTGGTACGGGGGATTGCCAAATTATGAGTTATTACAACACTCAGGACAATGGACCTCCAGAGCTTAACAGAGATATCGGGTTCTTATTTCACTACACATGCTAAGTCACTCAGTTCTCGCTTATACCCAGAATTGAACTGTTGGTCTTAAAAGCTCCACTGGACTCAAATTTAGTTCTCACATCTGTTTGTTAACTCTTGTTATTCTAATTTGTTGCTATTCATATGATCAACTGCTTTAATCCAATCTTAGGTATACTTATTGCTCAGTTAATGCTCAGTTAGCATTTTGACTCTAATTAACCCTTCCAGGCAACTAACCCCCTCACCACCTCTCTACCTGTATGTAATGGTTGAGGAAGTCTTGTTTCATAAGAACATAAGAGAAACCAATGTTGGATCAGGCCAATGGCCCATTCAGTCCAACACTCTGTCACACAAAAATACCAGGTGCCATCAGGAGGACCAGCAGCGGGGCCAGGACACTAGAAGCCCTCCCACTGTTGACCCCCCCCCAACACCAAGAATACAGAGCATCCCTTGCCCCCGACCGAGAATTCCTATCTACACCTTGTGGCTAATAGCCACTGATGGACCTCTGCTTCATATGTTTATCCAAGAACTGTGCATGCACACAAAAGCTTATATCCAGAATAAAACTTGGTTGGTCTTAAAGGTGCCACTGGACTCAAACTTTGTTCTGTTGCTTCAGACCAACATGGCTGTCCACCTTATCTAATGTTAGTATTGTTTAGCCTAACTGGCAGTAGCTGCCCAGGATCTCAGGAAGAGGTCTTACATCACCTCCTACTCCATCCTTTTAGCTCCTCCTCCCCCGCATTGTGGTGGTTTCACCAGAGTTGGGCCCCGTGGCGTGTTCAAAAGTCGTTCTCGAGTGGAAGCACACTCTGTAAAATGGGCATGTATTTATGGGGACGCCCGTTTGTCTAGTTTGGTCCAATTCCAGGCATATAAACACTCCTTTCCACAGGCCTTGGAATGCTGTTAATTGTTAAATTATTGTAAGGTGTTGCATGGGAGACCTCCAAGGAATACCAGGGTCATGACGCGGAGGGAGGCAGTGGCAACCCACCTCTGAATGTCTCTTGCCTTGGAAACCCAACAGGGTTACCATAAGTTGGCTGAGATGTGACAGGCCTTTCTGCCACCGTCACGTAATGTGTATCTTTTGTTGCACAAGTGTGTAACACAGATGTGCAATCCCACAATTCTACTGACCTAGATGGCTCGGGCTAGCCCAATCTTGACAGATCTCAGAAGCTAAGCAGGGTCGGCCCTGGTTAGTACTTGGATGGGAGGCCACCAGGGAAATCCAAGATTGCTACGCAGAGGCAGGCAATGGTAAACCACCTCTGTTAGTCTCTTGCCTTGAAAACCCTATGGGGGTTGCTATAAATTGGCTGTGACTTGATTGCATTTTCCACCACCACTGGACATTGGAAGAGCCCCATCTTTGGTTCCACTGTTTTTCTTGTTTCTGACGGAGTGTCAAATCTAAATGTCCTAAAATCTTTTCAGGAGGGAGCAACAATGGAAATAATGCTTCTTGTCTGTGATTTTGTTTGTGTGTTTTAGTTTCTTCAGCAGTATCGGCATTACCAGTCCAATGTGGAGATATTCAGACTGCAGCCAAATAAGCCCAGTAAAGAACTGGCTGAATTGGTGATGTTCATGGCACAGGTAAAAGCATCATAAACTGTTATAGCAGAAGTCCTGGTTCAGGTTAATTAGATCACCTTTGCGTTATTAAACACCCTGCGTCCCCTCGGGAGAAAGGTGGGTTAACGTACTACAAATCAACCTGTGTTATAAAAGGGAGAATGTTGGTTATAAAAGACTGACAAAATTAGATTTTTGAAAATGTGCAAATTATCCAGAGATGCAGTTGCTAATCTTATCACTAAACCACTCCCCCCAAATATCCCTGATAACTGTCATTGCTAATGTTACTTTTGTGATCTAAGAAACGTAGGGCCTGTTTATACTAGAAACAAAAAGAGACTTAAGTCATTCTGTTTATCAACTGAACCACAGTTTGGGGTGGTTTGGTTTCCCTGAATTTTTTTAGCCAAACTACAATTTCCAGGATTCTGTGGGGGGAGCCATTATTGTTTAACTGTTACAAAATGTGTATCATTCATTTGTGCCATATATGGTGTTGAAACAAAAGCTTCCACTGAGACTTAGCAGCATCAGTTTGTACATAATTGCCAAGGAACATCTGATCTGTTCTTAGTTTAAGGGAAATCTCTTGCTTCTTCTCATCAGGTGAGTCTTGAGCTTTATTTAAAAAAATGGGGGTTCTGATTTGAGTTGCAGGATATCTTGTTGGTTTGTTCATTTAAATATTTATAGATCACCCTTCCCCATAAGGTGGGCCCATGGGGGTGTACAGTGGCATGCTCACCTGCACACAACAGTCAAGATAATAAAATAACGTTGCTGCAACCCACAACCAGATTTGTAGTCAATACAAGAAACAACACAATCAGACATATGCTCTCAAAAATAATAGTCTTGAAATGCTCCTCTGGAAGCACATAGGGAAAGGCTAGATCACACCTTTGTTGGTAGTCCATTTCAGAGCACCGGAATGTAATCTAGAAATTATCTAGAGCTACTAATCAGACCTTTGGAAGAGCCCAGAGAGAGAAGAAGCTGATAGGATGGATGAAGCTAGCACAAGGGGTAGATACAGGAAGAGATGGGAGTTGGGTAATGCCTGAAATATTATTTCTGTTATATTTATTGGATGATGTCATTGATTGAATGTCAAACAAGGACAGGGGAGGGGTGGCGTCAAATCCTAGCATAGCTTTGAAGCTCATGGACTCACCTTGAGCTACTCACCAGATCCTTACCTAACCTACCTTATTGTGAGGTTTTGATTGAGAGTGGGCCATGTTTGTTGTGCAAACTTAAAGTGTAGGTGGGTTGCAAGTGACAAACATGACTGTGATAAGTTTGAGGTTAAGTATCTTATTTTGGGCGGAGGGGGAGATTTTAAAGCTGCTTTTCCCAAAAACGTCCCTGTTTACAGAGAAGTTTTCTTCTGATTGTGTTTCTTTTCGTTTTCGAAACAGGTCGGCCACTGCTACCGCGACCATCTTGCAGACTTCCCACAGCAGCTGAAGGATCTGCTTTCCTACCATCACACGATGCTGGATCCCGATCTTCGGATGGTGCGTCCAGGGCTTTTTTTGTAGAAAAAGCCCAGCAGGAACTCATTAGCATAATAGGCCACACCCAATATCAGAAACTCATTCGCATATTAGGCCACACCCCTGACAGCACAGCTCATTAGCCTATTAGGCCATACCCCCATGCCTTCCCTTGGCTTGCCCGGGCGCCCCGCAGCTGCAGGGCACCCGGACAAGCCAGCCCTTGGACAGGCCGGGAAAGGCACAGGAGGCATTTAAATGCTTCCCTGATCCTTCCAGGGCCCCCCCCCCCGGCCCACCTGCCTCAGAGTTGCCGGGGGGGGGGTCACTCTCCAGGCCTTCCCTCTGTAGCCATGCACACAGAGGTTTTGGCTGCAGTGGGCGTGGCCAGCTCTGAAGCCAGCAGAAACTCTGTTCCTGTGTGTTCCTGCCCAAAAATAGCCCTGGGTGCATCTGTTACACACACACACACACAATATTTTTTCTTCATTGGGTCTTGAGAGGGGAATTCTGAAAGAGCTTAGATTTCCCATACAGTTTGAAACGGCATACTTTAAAGTCCTTATTTTTGGTGAGCGTTTTGTGTGTGCGCGCCCGTGCGCTTATGAGCCTGGAAGTCATGGTGACGTCTGGCGACCCCTAGTGGGATTAGGACCAATGCGCCCTCTAAGCTGCGGAGTCCTGTGAGCAAAAAATCTACTTTGTGAGCTGCTGGCATTACAGTTGTGAGCGGGCGATTTGGCTACTGCATAAATTAACTTACTCTGGAGCCATCCTTTCTGAGTGAAGAGAGAAATGTGTGAGCCGGAGGCTAAAAAACCTGTGAGCTGGCTCACACTAACTGAGCGATTGCCTGCCTCTGCGTCCTGCCCCTGGTATTCCTTGGAGGTCTCTCTATTCCCAGTACTTGCCAGAGTCGGCGCTGTTTAGCTTCCGAGATCTGACGAGATCAGGCTTGCCTGGGCTATCCAGCTCAGGGCAATAACCTCAATTATTGATGATCCATAATGACATCCAAAAGTGACAAATATTGACCCGGACCAGATACATTTCAGTCCAGCTGGCCTTTCTCAGTGGTCAGACTACTAAAGCTGTGGCATTTTTAAGCCAAAATCTGAACAAATGAAATTCTACAAGGAACGATTCAAGGAGGAATCACGGGACATTGTATAGAGGCAAAACCACAGGTGTAGCTTGTACGTACGATGACCAGTTCTGTGAGTGCAGCAAAATGGACAAAATTAAACACCCTAGTATATATTTGCTGCTTTTGTGTCTTTTTGTTAATCTTAGGGGCAGAGCCGTACGTGTGGTCGGGTCCAGCCCAGTTTTCCCACTCAGTCTTACCCCATTTTTCTCTTTAGCCAGTTTGGTGTAGTGGTTAAGTGCGCGGACTCTAATCTGGGAGAACCGGGTTTGATTCCCCACTCCTCCACTTGCACCTGGCTGGATGACCTTGGCCAAGCCATAGTTCTGATAAGAGCTGTTCTTGAAAAAGAGCAGTTTCTGTCAGAGCTTTCTCAACCCCACTTACCTCACAGGGTGTCTGTGGTGGGGAGGGGAAGGGAAAGGAGTTTGTAAGCCGCTCTGAGACACCTTTGGGTAGTGAAGGGCGGGGTATAAATCCAATCTCTTCTTCTTCTTCTTTAGTGGAGCATCTGTCCCAAAGAGCTTTTTATCCATTCAGCTCCTACAGTCCCCAGGGTAGCCTCTTTTGAAGATCGATCAGGATGGGTGGCTGTGTTATGCTGCCTTTAGCAGCAGAAAAGAGCCAGAATCCAGGAGCACCGTAAAGACTAACAGAATTTGTGGCAGGGTGTGAGCTTTTGTGAGTCACTGCTCACTTCAGAAGTGTTGAAGAACTGGAGACTGCTGAGTGGAGCGTGTTAGCCCTGCATTATATAGCACGCCATCTTGCCTTAACAACTATTGCGTGCACTTTAATTGAAAACTGTTGTCTGTTTAAATGGTTTTAAATGTTTTAAATGTTTATATGGAACTTGGCATGTTGGGCCAAGCAATGTGAGGCACCCCAAGCCCGCTTGCAGGGTGGGTGGGCTATAAATGTGATCAGATAAATAAATACCCCCTTTTTCTGTTTTAAGGAGTCTCAAAGCGGCTTTCGATCACCTTCCCGTCCCCAGAACAGGCACCTTATATTCATATTCAAATACCTTTTATTGGCATACAATATTAGAAGCATTTCCCAATAATAATAACAATCCAAAAGAAATTATAAAATAGATAGTCGTGGCTATGTCAGGCCTAACTCAAGTTGTCACAGGATAGCTTTGACCATACAAAAGATGCCTGAATCATAAAATAAATTGGCATTCTAAACTTTTAAACTTAAGTTTTTTAGACTTATAAATTAAAAATCATTAATATGAACAGGGTCACTCTTCCGTTTTATAAAACCATGGAGAAACTTAGCGGTCAGTTCAATGATCTCCGGATCTCGCGAGGCAAGGAGAAATTGTACCTTGATTCTATCCGATTGGCCTGCTACCAACCTAAGGGGGGCTTCTATAAATTCCACTCGAATGTCATTTAACAATTTACAGTGTAAGAGAACAGGCACCTTATAAGGCAGGGGGGGGGGCGCTGAGAGCATTCAGAGAGAGCTGTGACTGGCCCAAGGTCACCCAGCAGGCTTCATGTGGAGGAGCGGGGAATCAAACCCGATTCTCCAGGTTACAGTCTGCCACTGTTAACCACAACACCGTGCTGCCTGTCGAAAGGGGCTCCCCCTCTGTTTTACCAGCAGTCAAACTTGTTGGATCCAGCCCAAAGTATTCGAGCCCTGCTGCATGCTCGCTAGATGTCCTGGCTAGCATTTGCCCCCCTCTGAGACTGCAGCAGGTGCTGCTGACATGCGTCACACCCGTTTCTTTAACTGCAAGGACCAGAAGCTTGGGTGCTTGAAAAAAAGAAAACAGGTGTTGTTGTTGTTAATTGTATTTATGGCGGGGAGGGCGGGGTAAAGGTCAAATCAATAAATGATAAATAAATAATAAATTATTATTATGAATTGCCCAACCCCTGCTTCAGCAGGGCTCTGGGCAATGTGGAACCGCAAATAAAACAAGATACAATCGGTTAAAACGTTAGTAGAACATTCGAGACCAATCAGATGGCGAATAACCAATCCCCATGCCAACTCCCACCGCCGGCTACTTCACGGGCAGGGGGGAAGAGGGCACAATAGATGTAAACGACAGAGAATGGGAAGGGTGCCAGTCAAGATGGAACCGTCGCTGTCCTCAGCAAAAAGCCTGGTGGAACCTCTCTGCCTTGACTTCCATAAAGATCACAAACAAGGTCACCAGCTGCCTGGAGAAAGAATATCTTGTCCCTTTAATACAGGAGCCCAGGTGATCTTATTTACCTCTCTGCAATGATGAGCTTCAGTTGCCTAGTTCCATACTGGTTTTCCTCCCCTTGTTTTGCTGTCAAATCGCAGGTGACTCATGGTGACCAGTGTTCCCTCTAAGCTGAGGTAGTGTGAGCTGGCTCACAGTCTTTTAGCCTCCGGCTTACAGATTTTTGACTTAGCTCAGGAAGGAGGGCTCCAGAGCAAACTGATTCATGCAGTAGCCAAATCGCTCGCTCACAACTTTAATGCCAGGAACTCACCAAGTAGAATTCTTGCTCACAAGTCTCCACAGCTTAGAGGGAGCATTGATGGCGACCCCATAGGATTTTCAAGGCAAGAGACATTCAGAGGTGGTTTGCCGTTGCCTGCCTCTGCATAGCAACCCTAGACTTCCTTTGTGGGTCTCCCATTCAAATACTAACCAGGGCCGACCCTCCTTAGCTTCCGAGATAGCCTGGGCCATCGAGGTCAGGGCTCCCCACATTACGCCTCCCTTAAAATTCCACATTTGTGCAACAAAGTCTTCTTTGTGTGTCGTTGACCCATTCTGATTGTAATGATCATACGGCTGTATTAACTTCCTTTTCTCCCTCCCTCCCATTGCAGACTTTCTGCCGAGCCCTGATCCTCTTGCGGAACAAGAACCTGATCAACCCCACGAGCCTGCTGGAGCTCTTCTTCGAACTCCTCCGCTGTCACGATAAGTTTTTACGGAAAGTGAGTTGCAAAGTTCTCGGTATCGTTTAGCCCTCCTCCATTTACTTCCGCTGTAGTAAGGAGATTTAAGTGACAGTCCGAAAATGAGTATTGTGTCCGCATCTTTGGCAAGTGGCTTACATGATGTAATCCTTTGCAGAGATATGCCTGACACAGGCTGACATAGCTGCCTAGGATAGCTCTGTGAATCTAGCACAGGGTTCCCCAACATGGTGCCCGTGGGCATGCAGATACTTCCCTTGACACCCACCGAGCTTTTAAAGAAACTGGGTGGGGCCATTGTAAGGCAAGGCTTGTTACTGGCTACTCTCATTCAGGTGAAAGAGTTTTCTAGAGGAGCAGGACAACTGGTAAGCACCCAGGTGTTTTTTTAGTCAATGTGTGGTTACATTCCCCCTTCAGGCTTTCCTTCTGCCCAGGACATGTGAGGAGGGAGGTAGTCCATTTGTCTCCACCTCCTGTGGAAGCCATTTTGGGTGTGTCTCCACCTCCTGTGGAAGCCATTTGGGGTGTGTCTCCACCTCCTGTGGAAGCCATTTGGGGTGTGTCTCGACCTCCTGCGGACGCCATTTGGGGTGTGTCTCCACCTCCTGCAGACGCCATTTGGGGTGTGTCTCCACCTCCTGCGGAACCCATTTTGGGTGTGTCTCCACCTCCTGCGGAAGCCATTTTGGGTTTGTCTCCACCTCCTGCGGAAACCATTTTGGGTTTGTCTCCACCTCCTGTGGAAGCCATTTTGGGTTTGTCTCCACCTCCTGTGGAAGCCGTTCTAGGTTTGTCTCCACCTACTGTGGAAGTCATTTTTCGGGTGGCGCTCCCCACCACCTTTCAAAATTCCAGAAATGCCCCACAGGCTCCAAAAATTCAGAGTCCCCGATCTACCACGTAGACTGGCTTGGGTGAGTAGTGCCGCGGCCTGCTTGAATGTTCCCATTCCTACATCAAAGTCCTGCATCAGCAAAGTAGAGACAGCGGGTCAGGCTTGAGTCTTGTGATACATCAAGCACCCTGACTTGGCTGGCCCAGGCTAGTCCTGTCACATCTCGTGAAGCTAAGCAGGGTCATCCCTGGTTAGTATTTGGATGGGAGACCGTCAGGGAAGTCCAGGATCGCTCTGCTGAGGCAATGGCAAACCACCTCCGGACGTCTCTTGCCTTGAAGTCCCTGTGGGGTTGCCATAATTTGGCCGTGGCTTGACAGGAGACACGCACACACGTAAAGTGGTGGTTTCAGTCAATAAAAGCTTTCCTTGGTTGAAGGACTTAGGAGGAGGAGGAGGGAGAGAGAACCAGAATTCATCCTTAAAATACATGGTAGTGCTTTTCCATATAGTGTTACCTGAGCTATCCTTAAATTACATGGCACAAGAGTTGCTTGTCGGCCTGGAGAACAAATGATCTGGTCCATTCGTGGAGGCTGACCGTGTGGAAGTCGGCAGCTGAAGCTTTTCAAGGTCATGGGGGCAAATACCGTGACCTGAAAAATAGCCTCCCACAAAGCCTCCATTAAAGACACAGGACAGTTTCTCCCAGGCGGTTGACAGCCCTGTCTGGTGAATCAGAAGTAACTTCATTTGCTTACGTTTGTTCCATCAGTTTTACCCATTTTCTTTCTTCTTACCCCTCCATCTGTCAAAGCCATTTTGGAGTAGTGGTTAAGAGCGGTGGCCTTTAATCTGGAGAACTGGGGTTGATTCCCCTCTCCTCCTCCACATGCAGCCAGCTGGGTGACCTTGGGCCAGTCCCCAGTTCTCTCTCAACTCTCTCCACCCCACCTACCTCACAGGGTGCCTGTTATGGGGAGAACCAGCAAAACGGAGGCGCTTCCACATTCAGCTTGCTTGTGGCTTTGGCGTGATGTGGCTTCAGGTGGCAGAGACCACATGGAATGATGCCCGTCAGCTGTCCACACATCCATTTCTCTTCCAGTTCACCCTACTCAAAGAGATTTCAAGGATTTCTAGCACTTATGTTCCAAAAGTCACAGAACTGTCCATTTTTCTTTCTTTCGACAGACGTTGTACAGTCACATTGTGACCGACATCAAGAACATCAATGCGAAACACAAGAATAACAAGCTGAATACAGTAAGTTCTGGATTCTTTTCCCCCCCTTCAGTTCAGCTCTTGAGGTAAGACTGTGGCGTGAGGCACCCTGCGGGTTTGTGTCCCTTTAGGCCTTAGTCTTGGAAGGTTTACCGACTATTGAAGAGTCTGTTCCTTTGCTGATCGGGTGCCCGGCTGTGAATGATTATAATAGGACTGAATTTTCTCCTGTAATACTGGTGTGAAGGCTTTTATACACTGTGAGTGCTGTGTGAAGGATTTTCCCTCCTACATATACCATTTCAAAGTCTTCTGTACGTTATGAGTACTTTATGAAGTAGTATGAGCTTCTTGAAGAAGAGCTATCGAAACGAAGATCTAAATCCGGAGTCTTCGTCCTGACTGTGTACCATTTATGGACTTGCACTATCTTTGGACAGCGCTGGCTCTTCGGCTTGGAAATGGAGATGAGCACTGCAACCCTAGAGTCAGATTCGACTGGCTTTCAAGCAAGGGAACCTTTACCTTTACCTTTTTACTATTCTTATATATGTACCATTAATGGACTTGCACTACTCATGGACCTGTACATTGTATGATGTACATTTATTTTACTGATATATGTGGTCCTTTGTTATTCTTATATAAACTACCTCTGTTTTGCATGACTTTTGAGCAATTGTGGTCTGCGTTATTTATACAGTGTTTGCTTGCTTTCTGTGAATTTGCATACTGTGATATCGCATTGGTTTATGATTCCCATAAGAGCCCCTTGGGCTGCACAGCAAGCTGTCTCTTGCCGACATGTACTTTGGGTGAGACCAGGATAAAAGGTGTGTCCATTGCCCGGACAACCTCTGGATTTCCCACCCTTCCTGACCTGTTCTTTGAGCCCCGTGGTTCGTCCATGCGGGCATATTGAGGGGCAGTCGTCAGGGCAGGAGCCACCCGCCTAATTCTCCTGACAAGTAATCTCTTGCTTGCCTTTCAGACGCTCCAGAGCTTTATGTACACAATGCTACAAGACAGCAACCCAACTGCAGCCAAGATATCTCTGGATGTGATGATAGAGCTCTACCGGAGGAACATCTGGTAGGTTGCGGGGAGACTGCATGGTGTCGACGTTTTATTTTATTTATTTTATTTATTTATTTAGGCATTTTTACCCCGCCCTCCTCGCGAACGGGCTCAGGGCGGTTTGACACGGGAACAGACCCCGAGAGCAAATAGTGTGTTCAAGTTGGCAATGCTGTTCCTTTTTGGGAAGGCATAAATAGTCTTTCGAAAGCAAGAAATTGCAAGTAGATAAATAGGTACCACTTTGGTTGGGAAGGCATAAATAGTCTTTCGAAAGCAAGAAATTGCAAGTAGATAAATAGGTACCACTTCGGTAGGAAGGTAACAGCGTTCCGTGCGCCTTGGTGTTTAGTCATGCCGGCCACATGACCACAGAAACGTCTTCGGACAACGCTGGCTCTTCGGCTTTGAAACGGAGATGAGCACCACAACCCTAGAGTCGGATTCGACTGGCTTTCGAGCAAGGGAACCTTTACCTTTACCTTTAAATAGTCTTTGTTTCATTCTTCACAGGAACGATGCCAAAACCGTGAATGTCATCACCACGGCCTGTTTTTCCAAAGTCACCAAGGTGAGAAAATCAAAAAAAATATGTTCGTGTTTTGGAAGTTCCTGCGCAAGTTTCTTTGTTACACAAGGTTCCTAGGGGACATCCTCCCTTTTCTTGTTAAGAACATAAGAGAAGCCAATGTTGGATCAGGCCAGGGGTCATTTCCTGCGGGAGCGCACAGGAGCGGAGCTCCGGCAGTAAGGAGCTCAGGGGGCGGGCACATGCAACAAGCCCCGTCCCCTGCTCCCAGCAGCCCTCAGTTGGGCCACGAGGAGCAAGAAGCAGCCAGGTAAGTTGCAGAGCCCCCCCCCCCCAGCCCGCCTTCAGGTACAAGCTCTCCCTCCTCTGTGAGGGCAGATCTGTGCGTTCCTCCCCCCAATAGCTAGCAATCCAAAACAGTCCAGTGGAGCCTGAGCGGTGGGTGTTACCTTCTGACACACTTCCGGTGATGTCAGGGGGTGTGGCATATGCAAATAAGTTATGTTAATGTTATGCTAATGAGCTCCTGCACCTCTATTTCTATGAAATGACCCCTGGATCAGGTCAATGGCCCATCCAGTCCAGCACTCTGTCACATAGTGGCCAAAAATACCAGGTGCCATCAGGAGGTCCACCAGTGGGGCCAGGACACTAGAAGCCCTCCCACTGTTGCCCCCCCCCCAAGCACCAAGAATACAGAGCATCCCTTGCCCCAGACCGAGAGCTCCTATCTATACCTTGTGGCTAATAACTACTGATAGATCTCTGCTCCAAATGCTTATCTAATTTCCTCTTGAAGCTGTCCATGCTTGTAGCTGCCGCCACCCCCTGTGACAGTGAATTCCATGTGTTAATCATTCTTTGGGTGAAGAAGTACTTCCTTTTGTCCTAGCCTGTTCAGCAATTTAATTGAATGCACATGAGTTCTTGTATTGTGAGAAAGGGAGAAAAGTACTTCTTTCTCGACCTGCTCTATCCCATGAATAATCTTATAAACCTCGATCATGTCACCCCTCAGCCGTCATTTCTCCAAGCTAAAGAGCCCCAAGCGCTATAGGGATGAAGTTGCCCTTTTCTGCACTTTTTCCAATGCTATAATATCTTTTTTGAGGTATGTTGAGTTTCTGTGGTGAGTTTGTTGTGAGTTCCTTGAACACATACGTACACGAAGCTGCCTTATATTGAATCAGAAGTCATAAATACGATGGTTAGCTGCCTAGAGGGGGGGAAACGTCCAGTTCCTTTCATAGAGGCTTAATGAGATATTATGTGCCAGGTAGCTCCATTTGAATACCTAAGTGGTTGAGAGTACAGGCGTATATAAAAAGGATTAAACAAAATATATCATGAATGCATTTAAATAGTTCATTAAAAACAAAATAGGCCTTCCTTTATTTACCATTGCAGTACACATATGCACACTGGGTGAAGGAACTGCTGTATTCAGTATGAGTATATTATCTCACATTCCCTTGGGTGGGGCTATAAATATCAGTAGCCAGATGCAATACTCCCACAGAGTTAAGAACATAAGAAGAGCCCTGCTGGATCAGACCAATAGTCCATCTAGTCCAGCTTCCTGTCTCACACAATGGCCAACCAGTCCCTCAGGAGGGCCAACCACAGGACATAGAGGCCGAGGCCTTTCCCTCATAGGAACATCAGAAGAGCCCTGCTGGATCAGACCAGTGGTCCATTCTAGTCCAGCATCCTGTCTCACACAGCAGCCAACCAGTTCCTGTAGACAGCCAACAACGGCATACAGGCCGAGGCCTTCCCTTGATGTTGCCTCCTGGCTCTGGGATTCTGAGGCTTAGTGCCGTAGTGTGTCTGAATGTGGAGGTTCCCCTCAGTCACCACAGCTAGTAGCCATTGATAGATTTATCCTTCATGAATCTGTCTTATCCCCTTTCAAAGCTGTTTATATGTGTGGCCATGACTACATCCTCTGGCAGCGAATTCCACATTTTAATCACTCTGTGTACAGTAGTGTTTCCTTTTGTGTACAGTAGTATTTCCTGAACTTACTGCCCATTAGCTTCATTGGATGCTGTTAAGTTCTAGTATATATTTTTTTTGGCGGGGGGGGAGATTTTTTCTTTGTCAAGTTGTTTAGTGCCACAGGAATTATTTTGGAATGCACTGCTGTGACCTTCGAAGGGAGGAAGGGAAGGAGATTAATAAGCCACTCTGAGACTTCGAGTGAAAGGCAGGGTATAAATCCAATCTCATTTTCTTCTTTTTCATTCTTTGTCCAAACATCTCACGGCTGTTCCAGATCCTAGTTGCCGGACTGAAATTTTTCCTTGGCAAAGATGAAGACGAAAAGCAAGGCAGCGATTCAGAATCGGAGGTTTGTGCGCACTGTGTGCTGTCAGGATGATGTAAATAACAAGGTTTTGGTCTAGCACAGGTGGCCACGTTACAGTAAAGATGTAAAATTTCCAGAAATTTTGAAGCTCGGAAGAAAACCGTTTTTTTTTCTGGGAAAAAATGGAATTTTTCAAAAAAATTGAAAAAAAAATGCTACATTAGCACTTCTTTTTTTCCAGATTGAAAGTCATTCTGTTACTTTAGGAACATAAAATATGACTATGGACATTTTTACTTGGCATGAAATTATCACAACTAGCATATTAAAAATATAGTGTATCCAAACAATTATTACAAACAGAATACCCACCCACATGCAAAAACAAAACTGAAACCTTTTCCTTTTCTTGTGACAATAGCACCTCCTAAAGGAAGAAATGCATCTTGTTCTTGCATTGGAGAGTTCAGTTTGTAACCTAGGACTTGCTCGTCCTCAGTGCACAGAAATTAGATCAATCTGATGCCATACCTATTTTTTTAGAAATGATTTGGAAGATATTTGAACACCTTGTCTTAAAATATTTTATTCATCATGTTAAAATGAAACGTTCCATAACCAATTTCTTTTTCTTTTCCTTTTTCAATTTTTCCAATTTTTCAGAAAAAAAACAAAAAAGGCTTCAGGGAAAAACGGGGGGGGGGAACGGTTTCCCCCCGAATTTTTCCGGTTTTGTTTCCGGGCTTTCACATCTCTAGTCTACAATTGATCAAAATTTGAGTCCAGTAGCAGCTAAAAGACCAACACGTGACCTTCCAAGGGTGTAAGCTTTCACGGCCCTGACCTCGATGGTCCAGGCTAGCCCAGTCTCGACAGATCTCAAAAGGTCAGCAGGATTGGCTCTGGCTACTACTTGGATGGGAGACCTCCAAGGAAGTCCAGGGTCGCTACGCAGAGGCCTTTTGTTCATTACAACAACAATAATACAGTCCACAGTAAACAATGACCAGGAAAAACCAATCAATAACAACTGTGCACTGAAAAACCCGCAGAAGAGCTTACAAAAAGAGACTTCAACAGAATAAGTAATTCAACAGATGTAATCCATCATAGGAAAATACGCAAGTCCACAATATCCCAAAGGGAAAGAACAAAGTTCAGAATAGAAATCTCTCAGAAGGAAACAATGAAGTCTGGAATAGATGTTACACATTTCCTAGGGATTGATTAGTGTTTCGGACTTCAGGTCCTTCCTCGGGAACTAAAAGCCACTACAGGAAGTCTCATTGTAGTTTCTTAACAGGTAAACATTATTCAGTTTCTATATGGGCCAGATGGAGCTGCGGTGGCTCAAGTGGTTAAGACGCTGAACTGCAGGCTGTGGAAGGTCAGTAGTTCAGCAGTTCAAGACCCGGGTGCCGCAAGACGGGGTGAGCTCCTGTCTCTAGTTCCAGCTCCTGCCAACCTAGCAGTTCGAAAGCAAGAAATTGCAAGTAGATAAATAGGTACCACTTCGGTGGGAAGGTAACAGCGTTCCGTGCGCCTTGGTGTTTAGTCATGCCGGCCACATGACCACGGAAACGTCTTCGGACAGCGCTGGCTCTTTGGCTTTGAAACGGAGATGAGCACCGCAACCCTAGAGTCGGATTCGAGTGGCTTTCGAGCAAGGGAACCTTTACCTTTTTATATGGGCCAGGTGTTGAAGTCTCTTTTTGTAAGCTCTTGTGTGGGTTTTTCAGTGCACAGTTGTTACTGATTGGATTTTGTTCATGACGTCACCTTGGTAAGGAGACCTGAGCACTCTCTTGAGCTCACATCGAGAACGATCGTTCCTAATAAAATCGTACACTCTGTCAGCCAAAGCCTTGAGCGAGTCTTCTCTCTCCCAGATTGACCTCAGAGAAGGAGGGGGTTGTGTTGGGTTTTAGCAAATTCCCCTAACCGTTATCCGCTCCTATGCATTCGTAAGGCTTCCAGAAACACAACAGCAGCCCTTCTGTTGGGAAGATGTACCAAATGACTTTGTGTTCACCCAAGAGGGTGAATGGGTGCAAACCGGGGAGGGGGGGTCGTTTCGGGCTCCTTAAATCATTCTTCTGTCCATAATGTTTCTTCTCAAGGACGACGGTCCCACGGCGAGAGACTTAATGGTACGATACTCCACCGGGAGGAAGACGACCAAGAACAAGAAGAAGCTGGAGAAAGCCATGCGTGTCTTAAAGGTGAGCAGTGAAAGCCGATGAGGTGGGGAGACCTGGGCTAAGAGTCCACCTCAGCCATGAAGTTCCCAAGGGGACTGTGGACAACCCTTTCTGTACCCAGTTGTACCCCATTGACATTGCTCCTGAGGTCCTTGGAAGGCCTCAGTGATTGGGGGATATTTTTTGTCAGCAGAAAGTCTTGGGTTTAGTCTCCCACATCTCCAGTCAGAAGGGATTCTCAATAGCAAAAGTCCTTAGCAGGGTACTTCTCTTGTTTAACTGTCCCGCATTATCGTAGAGCTTATACGTTAGCGTGCTTTAATGTATCACCTTCTGTGATACTGTATGAGAGATTTCAGGAGCTGCGGTGGCTCAAGTGGTTAAGACGCTGAACTGCAGGCTGTGGAAGGTCAGTAGTTCAGCAGTTCGAGGCCCGGGTGCCGCGTGATGGAGTGAGCTCCCATCTCTAGTTCCAGCTCCTGCCAACCTAGCAGTTCAAAAGCAAGAAATTGCAAGTAGATAAATAGGTACCACTTTGGTGGGAAGGTAACAGCGTTCCGTGCTCCTTGGTGTTTAGTCATGCCGGCCACATGACCACGGAAATGTCTTCAGACAGCACTGGCTCTTCGGCTTTGAAACGGAGATGAGCACCGCAACCCTAGAGTCGGATTCGACTGGCTTTCGAGCAAGGGAACCTTTACCTTTATGAGAGTTTTCAGGAAATCCCGTACTCTAATAGACTTTGTGCTTGTGGATTGCGCGAAGTGAAAAGCCTTGAACGTGTTCTCTTGTATTGTAAATACCTTAATATTCGATCCACACTCATTGAAACTTGGCTGCGAGGGCAAGAAGGGCAACCCGATGACGGCAAAATTCTTTTTTTTTATTACGTACTCAAAATCCAGTGATTATTGGAACTGGGGCCAGATGTTTACCTCTTGCATCTAAAAGGCAAGAAAGGTATCTGAATGCTGTGGTTAATGAATGAGGGTTGTTATTTGGGTGTCGCTGTGCCAATAAAGGTAAAGTTTACAGACTCTTAATGTGATGACCCAGTACCAACAGGGCAGGATGGGTAGGCAGGGCAATGGTGGGAGGCGATTCCTGTGAAAAGGATGACGAATGTCCTTGGATCAAATCCCTTTGTCGTACCACATGAACACCTTGTGTGGATCTAGTCAATTCTTTTCATGTTTGCATGACAGACCAGTGCAGTGGAGATGTCAGAGTGTTAGCCTAGGATCTGGGAGACCCAGGTTCGATTCCCTACGCTGCCATGAGAGCTTGCTGGGTGATCTTGGGGTAGTCACGCTCTCTTATCCTAACCTACCTCTTGAGTTGTTGTGCTTCGGAGGATATAACAGAGGAAGGGAGAATGATGTTGTTAACCACTTTGACAAGAAAAGCGGGGTATAAATCTTGTAGCAGGAACTCCTTTGCATATTAGGCCACACCCCCTAATGTAGCCAATCCTCCAAGAGCTTACAGAGCTCTTCTTACAGGAGCTACTGTAAGCTCTTGGGGGATTGGCTACATTAGGGGTGTGTCACTTAATATTCAAATGAGTACCTGCTACAAAAAGAGCCCTGAATTATCCCACCCTTCCCTCAAGGAGCTTAGAACAACATATGTAGACTTGTTATCCCGCCTTCTAGGCCAGGTCAGGCTGCCTTGTCCTGTGTTACTCAATGGGGTGGGAAGAAGAAGAAGAGATTGGATTTATACCCCACCCTTCACTCAGAGCGGCTCACAGTCTCCCATCCCTTCCCCTCCCCACAACAGACACCCTGTGAGTTAGGTGGGGCTGAGAGAGCTCTGACAGAAACAGCTCTTTTTCAAGAACAGCTCTTGTCAGAACAATGGCTTGCCCAAGGTCATCCAGCAGATGCAAGTGGACGGGTGGGGAATCAAACCTGGTTCTCCCAGATTAGAGTCCGCGCACTTAAACCACTATACCAAACTGGGAAGGAAGTCTTATCTGTTCTTGAGGAAGTGCCGTTTGATTCCCCTGAGCTTGCAAGGTAGACATTCTATATGTTGGGTTGAGCAGGATTTCACAAGTCCATCCTGTTCACTAGATCAGGGGCTCTCAACACGGTGCCCGCGGGCACCATGATGCCTGTTGATACCTTTCCTGGTGTCCAGTCAGTGTTTTTAGAAAGTGGGCAGAGCCAGGTGGGGCTTTTGACCAATAGGACTTCTGATTGGCCATTGGGAATTCGATCGGCTATGCAGATTTTTAAGAACATCACTTTGGCATCAGCTTGCCACCACAGCACGAGGATCTTCACGGTGTGACTGAAGGGAAGCCGCTGCAGCCATTTTTCTGACTGGCTCGGCCTCCTGCGGCGGCCATGTTGCCACTATGCCCACCGTGCCGTGTCAGAATTCTAAAGGCGCTCCCGGGCTCAAAACAGATTGGAGGCCGCCGCACTAGATGCTGTGCTTAATTTTGTCCTGGCGTTCCACTAAAAAGAGTCTCAGAGGGGCTTACAAACTCCTTTCCCTTCCCCTCCCCACCACAGACACCCTGTGAGGTAGGTGGGGCTGAGAGAGCTCTGACAGAAACTGCTCTTTTTCAAGGACAGCTCTTATCAGAGCTACAGCTTGCCCAAGGTCATCCAGCCAGGTGCAAGTGGAGGAGTGGGGAATCAAACCCGGTTCTCCCAGATTAGAGTCCGCGCACTTAACCACTACACCAAACTGGCTCCAAAAAATGGTATCACCAAATGGTATACACCAAAAAATGGTATCATCTCTTTCCCCGTTGTACAGAAACACAAGAAGAAGAAGAAGCCCGAAGTGTTCAACTTCTCCGCCATTCATTTAATCCACGACCCACAAGGTAAGGGCTCTCGGCCCTAGTTGTTCGTACTCCTCTGCTGAGGGGTGGCGGTGAAACAGAATGGTGTGCTGGGAGGATTACGTGGCTTTAAACGGGGGGGGGGGGTCCTCAACATGGTGCCCATGGGCGCAGTGGCACCTACTAGCACTTTCCCTGGTGCCGTGAAGTATTTTCAGAAAGTGAGTGGGCCCATTTGGGTCTTTCTGCCCAGCTGGCTTCTGATTGGCCATTGGCATTCTAATTGGTTGTGCAGGTTAAAGTAATGTGGCTTTTACTCTCTTTCCCAGTGTATTTTTTTTAATTACTCCTCCTTTCCCTTCCACTTGGGCTTCCTTTGTGGGTGGCCCCACCTCTCGTGGCAGACCTTTTGTGGCACCCACCACCTTGTGCCCAAGTTTCAAAAGTGCCCACAGGCTCAAAAAATGGTTGGGGACCACTGCTTTAGACACATTTACGTGGGATTGATGCAGTCATTAGGAACAGGGCATGTTTTTCCTGGCCTCTAGGGGCAGCACTTGCGCAATTATAATGGTCAGGTAGGCTTCTCCCGGAGCTGCGGTGGCTCAAGTGGTTAAGACGCTGAACTGCAAGCTGTGGAAGGTCGGTAGTTCAGCAGTTCGAGACCCGAGTTGCCACATGACGGAGTGAGCTCCCGTCTCTAGTTCCAGCTCCTGCCAACCTAGCAGTTCGAAAGCAAGACATTGCAAGTAGATAAATAGGTACCGCTTTGGTGGGAAGGTAACAGCGTTCCGTGAGCCTTGGTGTTTAGTCATGCCGGCCACATGACCACGGAAACGTCTTCGGACAGCGCTGGCTCTTCAGCTTTGAAACGGAGATGAGCACCGCAACCCTAGAGTTGGATTCGACTGGCTTTCGAGCAAGGGAACCTTTACCTTTACTTTAGGCCTCTCCCATGTTCGGGCCAGCTGCCCTGAGGCAGTAATGCATCCGTTCTCTTCTCCTCACACCCAAAGAGGAAACTGGTATCATTTCTCAGAACCGTGTCTCTGAAGTTAGCAAGCAGAAATTCCAAGAGAGGGGACTACCCCGACCCCAGATCTCTCCCCCCCCCCTGCTTTAAGCTCTGAGGTGATTTTGTTTTATGATGGATACATCCTGGTCCCTTTTCTCTCCAATCCCCACCCTCCACCCCTGGCAATTCTTCCGTGTTCGTTCAGACTTTGCAGAGAAATTGCTAAAACAACTGGAGGCCTCCAAAGAAAGGTTTGAAGTGAAGATGATGATGATGGAGCTTATTTCTAGACTCGTCGGGATCCATGAGGTACGAGCAAATGTACAGGCTTAGGGTTTGGCGTGTTGGTTAAATAGGAGAGGCCCCACCAAAAACCCTGTAAGATGGTAGCCGTTTTATTTGAACGACACGTTTGACAGATATAAATCAAATAGTGGTGGTTTTGTGGTGGTTTTTGTGGTGGTTTTGCCCTAGTTTGTTGGACCTAGGGTTGCCAGGTCTAGGTTGAAAAATACCTGGAGACTTTGGGGGTGGATCTGGGAGAGGGCGGAGTTTGGGGAGGGGAGGGGCCTCAGCAGGGTTCAATGCCATAGAGTCCACCCTCCAAAGCAGCCATTTTCTCCAGGGGTTATAAATCCAAAAAGCTGGGAAACCTAGCGTCACAAAAAGCAAAATCCACTAGGAAAAACACCATCAAAAATGCCAAAATATATAAACTCTATTTAACAATTATAAAGTTGGTGGTGCCACAACAGCAAAATAAGTGCATACTAACACTATAAACAAGGCACAGAATACAATGTTTCCTCCTTCAAAGATAAATATAAATCCACGTAGTCCGTTCAACTCAGTAGGAGGAACCCACATTTTCAAAAACAGCCTTCACAAAAACGCCCATTCCAGATACTTAAAGGAGGCGTTTCCATCAACTTCTTCAGTTTGCCAGCTGCGTAGTTCTAACCCGATTTCAACAATTTCTCCTGACAACAAGGTTCATAGTGTGAAGAGCTACAATGACTAATATTTATCTTTGAAGGAGGAAACATTGTATTCTATGCCTTGTTTATAGTATTAGTATGCACTTATTTTGATGTTGTGGCACCACCAACTTTATAATTGTTAAATAGAGTTTATATATTTTGATGGTGTTCTTCCTAGTGGATTTTGCTTTTTTTTTTTTTTGGATTTTCTCCAGGGGAGTTGATCTCTGTCAGCTGGAGATCAGTTGTAAAAGCGGGAGCTCTCCAGGCCCCACCTGGAGGCTGGCATCCCTAGTTGGGCCTGTGGGCATCTTTGGAATTCTGACACAAAGAGGTATCTGCAAACACAAAAAGGCTGCTGCCAACCATAACATATCAGGGACTCTTCAATGTTTTAGGTAGAGCCTCTGTTTAACAAGACGACTTTTAAAATGAGCATACCATTTAAAAATATTTTCTTGCATACAGAAAATATGTATAGCCAACCCACAGCAAGCTATACAGTTTCACAGACCACAGCCCCCCAATAATTTATCCAAGTAAGTTTGCAGAACATTTAGTACAGTGCGGAGCTGCGGTGGCTCAAGTGGTTAAGACACTGAACTGCAGGCTGTGGAAATTCGGTAGTTCAGCAGTTCTAGACCCGGGTTGCCGCATGACGGAGTGAGCTCCCGTCTCTAGTTCCAGCTCCTGCCAACCTAGCAGTTCGAAAGCAAGAAATTGCAAGTAGATAAATAGGTACCACTTCGGTGGGAAGGTAACAGTGTTCTGTGCGCCTTGGTGTTTAGTCATGCCGGCCACATGACCACAGAAACGTCTTCGGACTGCGCTGGCTCTTCAGCTTGGAAACCGAGATGAGTACCGCAACCCTAGAGTCGGATTCGACTGGCTTTCGAGCAAGGGAACCTTTACCTTTACTTTACCCTATTGCCTGCATAAAAAAGCCCTCTGGAATAATTCAGCATTGCACAGTTTGCGGAAAGCCAGGAGAGTACAAAACTTCCTGACCTCCTCGAGCTGGCTGTTCCACATGGTCAGGGCCACGTGTACGGGCAGCTGTTGATTGTCGTTGATTTTGCCCATTTGTATGGGCCATTATAGATTTTGCCTAATTGCAGGTTGCCATCTGCAGAAAGGGCCACAGTGGCTCAGAGGTTAAGGCGCTGAGCTGTAGACCGGAAGGTCGGTAGCTCGGCAGTTCAAGAGTGCCACGTGACGGAGTGAGCTCCCGTCTCTGGCCCCAGCTCCCGCCGACCTGGCAGTTCGAAAGCAAGAAATTGCAAGTAGATAAATAGGTCCCGCTTCGGTGGGAAGGTAACGGCGTTTTGTGTGCCTCAGCATTTAGTCATGCCGGCCACATGACCACCGAGAAGTCTTCGGACAGCACTGGCTCTTCAGCTTGGAAATGGAGATGAGCACCGCCCCCTAGAGTCGGATTCGACTAGCTTTCGAGCAAGGGAAACCTTTACCTGCCAAAGGCCTTGCTCAGATGAGCGAAGCTGTTGTGGTGGAAAGCTGTATACAGGAGAGGGAAGAAAAACCCCACCGAAGACCAAAAACTAATCCTGCAAATGTTCCTTTTCTCCCCTCAGCTTTTCCTCTTCAACTTCTACCCTTTTGTGCAAAGATTCCTGCAACCACATCAGAGAGGTAGGAGTGTGTGAACACATGAATTTCCCTTATACTGAATCAGACCATTGGTCCATAGAGGTCAGTACTGTCTAAGACAGGCAGCAGCTCTCCAGGGTCTCGGGTAAAGGTCTTTCATATACCTACTACCAGTGTTCCCTCTAAGCTGAGTTAGTGTGAGCTAGCTCACAGTTTTTTACCCTCCGGCTCACACGTTTCTGTCTTAGCTCAGGAAGGATGGCTCCAGAGCAGACTAATTTATGCAGTAGCCAAATTGCACGCTCACCACTTTAATGCCAGTAGCTCACAAAGTAGAATTTTTGCTCACAAGACTCCACAGCTTAGAGGGAACATTGCCTACTACCTGTTCCTTTTAACTGGAGAGACTGAGGATTGAACCTGGGACCTTCTGCATGCAAAGCAGAGGCTCTACCCATGAGCCACAGCCTCTCCCCTTTACTTTTTCCCTCCAGGGCAAGAGTAGAGACCTCCTCTGATCCCTTCTAGTACTGTTTGCTGAGACAGGTTTTACGTTAGCTGCTGTGAAGAACCAGTGTGGTGTAGTGTTTCGAGCAGGGCTATTTTGGGGCAGGAACCCACAGGAACGGAGTTCCGGCTGGCTCCCAAGTTGGCCACGCCCAGCAGGAACTCATTAGCATAATAGGCCACACCCAACAGCAGAAACTCATTAGGATTGGCTACAGTTAGGGGTGTGTGGCCTAACATGCGAAAAGCCCTGGGTTTTGACAACAAACAAGGTAAAGAGAATAAGAAGCAAAAGGTAGGTGTGGCTGGATGACCACACGTCTGGTAACATTGGGGTGTGGCCTAATATGCTAATAAGCTGTGCTGTCGGGGTGTGACCTATTATGCTAATGAGTTCCTGCTGGGCTTTTTCTACCCAAAAAGCCCTGGTTTAGAGTGTTGGCGTAGGCTCTGGGAGACGCTGGCTCATCTCCCCACTTGGCCACAAAGCTCACTGGGTGGCTGCCGGTAATTACTCCCTCAGCCTAATTTACCTCATGGGGTTATTGTGAGAGGGAAAAGCTGGGGGGAAGGGAGAACCAGTGTGCACTGCCCTGAACTTTCCTGGGGGAAGAGTGGGATAAAAATATACCATTTTCATTTCACTCTGCCCTGAAGAACTGCTATCACTGTGCAGCACTTCAGAGGATTAAAATGAATATGGAGTGACACAGCTTCCAATAAACATCCCATAAAGTCCTGAAAGATGGACACTCCCTGCTAGCCTCTTGCCCTCAGCATGGCCGTAACTTAAGCCTTGCCTGGGTGTGTTGCATGACGTCAACAGGCGGTGGGTTGTAGTTGTGCGTACAACTGTAGAGGCCAGCCTGTAGCGTTTTGCGTTCCTACCTGAGGCGAGAGTTACACCTCCCACATCCCTTGTGAAGTGCTGAGGAGGAACTCTTTTGTTCCTGCAACAGCATCCTTACAGTTTGTAAGCACATGGGTCACCAGATGTGCGCAAGACTGGGCGGGGGCAGTGCTCCCCCTAAGCTGTGGAGTCTTGTGAGCAATAATTTTACTCTGTGAGCTCCTGGCATTAAAGTTGTGAGCGAGCGATTTGGCTGCTGCATAAATTTGTTTGCTCTGGAGCCCTCCTTCCTGAGCGAAGACAAAAATGTGTGAGCCGGAGGCTGAAAAACTGTGAGCTAGCTCACACTTAACTCAGAGGGGACACTGGGTGGGGGAGAATCGGCTCCCAGGCAGCACGGCTCTTCAGTGCTGAATGGTTTCCCAACGCACGTCTAGAAGACAAAGTTATGCATGTTTCGTCAGAACGTACGCCGTGTGTGATGATACTTTCTTCCAAGAAAGCGTGGCTAAGTGTTTCACTTCACTGCATGGTTTAGATTTGGCAGCTATAGTCCAGACAAATAAATCATAGAGTTGGAAGGGACCTCCCAGGTCATCTAGTCCAACTCCCTGTACAATGTATGGGATTCACAAATACCTCCCCCCCCCTCCACATACCCAGTGACCCCTGTTCCATGCCCAGAAGATGACAAAAAACCTCCAGGATCTCCAGCCAAACTGGCCTGGAGAAAAATGGCTTCCTGACCCCAAAGTGGCGATCAGCATTTCCCTGGGCGTGTAAGAAAGGGCCTCGAGAACTAAGCACTGAGGCAACCCTTCCTGCCCTCCCTTCTCGTGATCTGCCTCAGTTCACAGGATCAGCATTGTTGTCTGAGGGTCACCCAGCCTCTGTTTGAAGACCTCCAAAGAAGGAGAGCCCACCACCTCCCAAGGAAGCTTGTTCCACTGAGGAACCGCTCAAACTGTCAGGAAGTTCTTCCTAATGTTTAAGCGAAAACTCTTTTGGTTTAATTTCAACCCGTTGTGTCTGCTCCGACCTTCTGGGGCAACAGAAAACAATTCCGTACCATCCTCTATATGACAGCTCTTCAAGTACTTGAAGATGGTTATCGTAGCACCTCTCAGTTGTCTGTAGCGTTCGTTCTACTGTGCTTTCTTTCTGGTTTATTGGGTCCTTCTGAGGATCGTTGCTTCACCCCTGAGTGAAGTCTGCAGTGTGCCTTGGCTCAAGGAATATTAAACATGAGCCTGTGCATGTTTACTCAGAAGTAAGCCCCATTCAGTGGAATGGAGCTTACTCCCAATAGGAGCTCAGTCTTGGGTCCTGGCCTGCCCGTAAAAGTGCATGCTCCTGCAGCCTCGGTTTTCCTCAGGGCTGTGCAGGGAAGGGAAGAGGGTATTTAACCTTACGGTCTCAGCTTAGGTTAGTGAAACTGGTTTCCTCACTCTGATATTACCATTTGATGTCTTTAACATTCTAACAGGAAGGGAGCCACTTTTGAATTAGTGAAATTGAGCGAAGGCTGAAGGATTAAACCTCCTCTCCCTTCCGCGCACAGCCCCAAGGCAAATGGAGGACGCACAACTTGCAATTTGCATTTTATGGATGGACCCAAGATGTTTAGTCTAAGCCCTGAGTCTTGTCTCTTTTGAATGTAACAAATGTTTTCCTGTCTCATATCTAGAACCAGTGTTCGGATTTTGCCCAGCTATGCACTTTTATTTATCTGCCTTTCCCCTCCAACATTACTTTATCAAAGCCATACTTTACAGGAAAATGGTGTCACAGAAGAGATGGTAACATTTGTATTGACATTCTGTGAGTTTACTGATTGCAAATTACCTGCAGGAACAACATTTTACACATAAGTTACACATTTTGCAACTTTAACTGTGTTGTCAGTGCTGTTTTGAAAAACGTATAATTTCTCAACACCTTCTGCTCTTTCTGGCTTCAATTTTTGTTTTTTAGACGTTACCAAAATTCTGCTTTTTGCAGCACAAGCTTCCCACCAGCTGGTACCCCCGGAGGTGAGGACTGTTTGAGATTTTACTGACTTTAGAGAAAGGTTTGGGGAGTAACGCAGCAAAGGAATTTGCTGAGCTCTTGACTCAGCCTAGAAGTAGAATAATAAAGTTGGAAGTGACCTCCAGGGTCATCTAGTCCAGTGCAGGAAATTCACAATTACCTCCCCCCACACACACCCCCAGTGACCCCTGTTCCATGCCCAGTAGATGGCAAAAAACCTCCAGGATTCCCAGCCAAACCGTCCTGGAGAAAAATGGCTTCCTGACCCCAAAGTGGCAATCAGCATTTCCCTGGGCGTGCAAGAAAGGGCCCCAAGAACTAAGCACTGAGGCAACCCTTCCTGCCCTCCCTCTCAAGATCTGCCCAAGTTCACAGAATCAGCATTGTTGTCAGATGGCCATCTAGCCTCTGTTTAAAAACCTCCGGAGAAGGAGAGCCCACCACCTCCCAAGGAAGCCATTTCCACTGAGGAACGGCTCTGTCAGACAGTTCTTCCTAATATTTAGCCCAAAACTCTTCTTATTTAATTTCAACCCGCTGATTCTGGTCCGACCTTTTCGGGCAACAGAAAACAGCTCTGCACCATCCTCTATAGTAAGTAATAAAAAAATGTGTACATCATCACATGTGTCAGTCATATAAGTGTGCTCTGGTCTGCATTTGAATGGATAATACACATGTGCTGGGAAGGAGTTCTTGCCTTCAGGTCCATGGCTTTGAAATGATGTTCCAGGGAAACCTAAGGGCTTTCTTTGGAAGCTTTGTTAGTTCCGTAGAAAGAAGATCAAAAGAAGAGTTGTGACAGACAGTGCTTTAAAAACTCATAAGTGCTGTATATACATGTGACGGACTGTGAAGGGTTAATGCTTCACAGATCCAGAGAGCCTTTGAGTGACAGGCTGCTCAAACAGATTTCATCATCGGATAGCGCGTCAGTTGAGAAGAGTTGGAAACTGACTGCTGAAGAGAACTCAGTTTTAACACGTGACTGAGGCCTGGGAGAGTGGCAAGAAAGAGTGGGGGGATCACTGAAGACATATTCAGGCCAGGAAAAGGGACAGAGCTTCTAGTTTAGAGAAGTAATTCCCTGCCCAGTTGAAAAAGGAGATAACTCTAAAGAATGGAGTGATCCCTGATGTGTTTAGAGAAGGATTTTGGATACTTGGTAGTGTATCCCTGCCTTCTGAATCTTGAAGTCAGTTAAACTCAGGAACTTATAATGGAGTGTTTAGCAGACACTGAAAATAAAGCCTCTCTTCTCAAAGATTCTAATCTAAGACTTTGTGAAAAACTTAAAACTCTTACTTGCTGGAAACATATTATCTGGGGTTTGTGAAAACACTAAGTTACTTCAGCGTTATTATTGATTCACCTCAGACATTTTACCCCCGATTCCACCTGACCTTTTCCCCTCTACATTGAATAAAATGTTTTGTTTATTTCTGAACTTTCAAAAGACTCTCGTGTGCCATTTTCAGAAGCATACGTTTAAGAAGGACATCTTGTCTCTTCCCTGGGCTGAGCCAGCATCGAAATATAATAACGTGACAGGGTGGGACAGCCATAAACCTTCAAATAAGAAAATAGATAAAAGGGCTGCTCAGTCAGAAAGGGAAAGAAGAAAAAATTGAGGGGAAATCCTGTGTGTGAGAGAGGGAAGAGGGCGAGTCCTCCATAACAGGTTTGGGGTTTTTTTTTGGAAAGGCAGCTCAGCTTCTGCTTTCAGTCTTCCCCTGCAGTATGTCACTAGAAAGGGGAATGTCAAGTATCTTCCTAGGATGCACTTTTGGTTGATGGCCAGAAGTCCTGGCCAGGCCTCATCATAACGGAGTTTGAACCCTGGAACGAGTCTGAGGATTGTGTGCAGGAGTTCCCCGTCGGCTGCTCAGGGATTCCTCCAGAAGACAAGCCAGTGGGGAAGGAATTCCCCAATGGTAGATACTCTGAAAACCACTGCAACATGTCAAATGTGACTCTCTAAACACTTGAGCTGCGGTGGCTCAAGTGGTTAAGATGCTGAACTGCAGGCTGTGGAAGGTCGCTAGTTCAGCAGTTCGAGACCCGAGTGTGCCGCATGACGGAGTGAGCTCCCGTCTCTGGCCCCAGCTCCTGCCAACCTAGCAGTTCGAAAGCAAGAAATTGCAAGTAGATAAATAGGTACCACTTCGGTGGGAAGGGAACAGCGTTCCGTGCGCCTGGGTGTTTAGTCATGCCGGCCACATGACCACGGAAACGTCTTCGGACAGCGCTGGCTCTTTGGCTTTGAAACAGAGATGAGCACCGCAACCCTAGAGTCGGATTCGACTGGCTTTCGAATAAGGGAACCTTTACCTAAACACAGGTTATCCTGCAATTTCCTACTGGAATAGTCTCCCGCCCCCCTTTTTAAAAGTGCATTTTGGGAAACAAATTTAATCTTTTACGAGTGGCCCAAGGTCAAAGGGACGATTCTTTGCATGGATAGAACTTTATCCCCGAGTTCCGTGTAATTCAGAAGTTTGCGTATTAACGTTGGCACAAGTTGATCCTAGAAATATTTCCTCCTTCGCCCAGGCTGTGGAGGGGAGTGGAGGGATGTATGTGCAACCTTGAGCACATTTCTAGAAAAACAGAGTTAGAGAAGATGCTGAATGTAATTGAAAGGCCAGCATGCAAATCTAGATGTATATGTTTCTTTCTTCAGATTATCCAGTTGGTGCTGATGACAATAGCCAACAACTTTGTCACGGACAAAAATTCTGGGGAAGTGATGACTGTCGGGTAAGTAACTAGACCTCAAGAAAGCTCAAGAATTCCGTGGTTCATTACGGTGTGGGTAAGAAGGATATGTGGTGGAAACCTGACTTTCTTCCTGTATGTAAGGTTAAGGTGGTAAAGGACAGAGCCAGGGCCTTATCAGTCGTGGCCTCAGCCTTCTGGAACTAGTTGCCTATAGGAAAGCACCCTGGGGGTTTAGAAAAGAGAATAAAGCCTGCTTTATTTAAGAAGTTGAACTGCTTTTATATTCTATTTAGATTGTGTACTTTAGCTATCTGTTTTGCCTTGTATTTTACTCTTCATAAATTTGATTGTTTTTTTTGTAAGCTACAGAGTATACATGTTCTCCATGTTAGAAAATACTTAGTTTGCAATACTTGGTGAACACATGTATTTATTCAATTCATTTATACTGGGGTGTCAAACATGCGGCCCGGGGGCCGGATCAGTCCCACGGAGGGCTTTTATCAGGCCCGCAGTGGAACTGGCTTTCCTCTGCTTCTTCTTCCAGTTCTGCTGCTGCTGCTGCTGCATCATCATAGGTTTGCAGCTTACAGATACACCCCTGAACAGCATACTCAAGATTGCAACAGCACAGACATTTTGATGCAATAATTCAGAGCAAGAAGTGTCAGTGATCAGACACTGTTAAATAAACAAAATGTGGCAAGAGTGCTAATGTTTTAAGCATGCTTTTATTTTAAGTAAAAAACCAAACCTTTGTGTTTGTATCCTTTATAAAGTTTATATCTCCGCTGCCTGGCATTACATTTTACGACACACAAGGCCAGGCCCAACAAGGTCTCATTTATGTCAGATCCGCCCCTCATAACAAATGAGTTCGACACCCCTGATTTATACCCCATCTTTTTCCCCATCGGGGGCCCATGTTAGTTTACATCATTTCCTCTTCTACATTTTATCCTCCCAGCAACCCTGCGAGGTAGGTTAGGTTGAGAGAGTGCGACTGGCCCACGGTCACCCAGTGAGCTTCTACGCCATGTGTGGGTATTCAAAACTGGGTCTCCCAAATCCTAGTTTGACACTAGGTCATGATAGAGGTTTACAAAATTATTCTTGGGATAGAGAAGGTGGAGAAAGAAGTACTTTCCTCCAACACAAGAACTCGTGGGCACTCAAATGAAATTAATGAGCAGCCATGCTCCCTCTAAGCTGTGGAGTCTTGTGAGCAAAAATTCTACTTGGTGAGCTACTGGCATTAAAATTGTGAGTGAGCGATTTGGCTACTGCATAAATTAGTTAGCTCTGGAGCCGTCCTTCCTGAGCTACGACAAAAATCTGTGAGCTGGAGGCTAAAAAACTATGAGCTAGCTCACTAACTCAGCTTAGAGGGAACACTGCTCTGGAACCATCCTTCCTGAGCGAAGACAAAAATGTGTGAGCCGGAGGCTAAAAAACTGTGAGCTAGCTCACACTAACTCAGCTTGGAGGGAACACTGATGAGCAGTAGCCTTAGAACAGATGAAAGGAAGTACTTCTTCACCCAAAGAGTGATTAACACGTGGAATTCACTGCCGCAAGAAGTAGTGGTGGCTGCAAGCACAGACAACTTCAAGAGGGGACTGGATGAATGTATGGAGTAGAGGTCCATCAGTGGCTATTAGCCAGAAGGTATAGATGGAACACTCTGTCTGGGGCAGTGATGCTCTGTATTCTTGGTGCTTGGGGGGCCACAGTGGGAGGGCTTCTGGGGCTCTGGCCCCGCTGGTGTACCTCCTGATGGCACCTGGGTTTTGGCCAGTGTGTAACACAGTGTGTTGGACTGGGTAGGCCACTGGCCTGATCCAGCATGGCTTCTCTTATGCTCTGCGTGACCTAGTACTGAAGAGACCCTGCTCACAGGGAGCTCCATGTGGATATTGGAGCATCCATTTGCACACCAAATCTGTCATGAATGTTGAGATTTAAAAATATTCTGCAAGGAAGTGTGGATGTGTATCAAGTATTTGGCGCTGTGGTGAGATGAAATGCTCTCACACCCAAATAGAGAATCCGGACTAATTGGCTGTCTAGGAATTGTTCTTTAAACTATTGGTCCCAGAATCTACCAGTTTAAAAGCTGTTTTGCAACCTTGAATTTTTTGATAGTATAAATGTTCTGTTCTGTTCTTTGAATTTTGAGTTTTCTATCTTTTTTTGAAAAAAAGAAATAATCCTTTTTATTAGACACATTAGAAAATAGAAGCCTGTGAAAAGCAGCCCTGTAGCTATGGCAAAAAAGAAGTGCCAAAAAGATTGAATCTCTTATAATTTCACAACCGTATTTGAATAAGTACAATTTAAAGCAAACTAGCTGTCAGTGTTATCTTTAACTGCTTTTAGGAATTTTTCCGTACACCCAAGTCTTACACAGAGATCTTACCTAAACTTCTGAGGGTTCTATCCAGAGATATCTAAAAGTTGCTTGTCACGTCAATGCATAATTTTATGTTATGCTAAATATTTTCTAGCTTAAACATGTGATTATTGTCTAGATAAAAGATTGATTCTTAACTATCGATGAGATAATCAAATAGATGTATCTAAGAATACTCCTGTTATGCGCTCATTATCTATCAAATTGTGATCTATTTGCATAGTCCGTACAGAAATAAGCTTTTTGGGGGGAGCAGAATTCAGGTTGTTCTTTTTAACGAGATGTAAAAAAATTTCAAGGCGCATAGTAAGTATAGAAAAAGAATATCCGCTTATACCAGATTCCGTTACTCAACTTTGTTTTACTTCCCACTTTCCAGGATTAATGCTATCAAAGAAGTATCAGCGAGATGCCCGCTCGCCATGACAGAAGACTTGCTTCAAGACCTGGCACAGTACCGATCTCATAAAGATAAAAGTAATTTCACCTTTTCTTTTTTTTTGCATAACCACAACAATCTTTAGGTTTGGTGTGGTGGTTAAGAGCGGCGGACTCTGATCTGGGAGAACCAGGTTTGATTCCTCACTCTTTCACATGCAGCCAGTTGGATGACCTTGGATCAGTCACTTCTCTCAGAGCTGTTCTCTCAAGAGCAGTTTCTGTCAAGAGCTCTCTCAGCTCCACCTACCTCACAGGATATCTGTTGTGGGGAGGGGAAGGCAAAGGAGATTGTAAGCTGCTCTGAGATTCCAAATGAAGAGCGGGGTATAACTCCAATCTCCTCTTCTTCTTCTTTCAGGTTCCCTTTTGCATAATTATTGTTGTTCTTTTGGTTCTTTTTGTTTGTATTGTTGCTGTGCTGCCTATTAAAGGCCAGAAACCTGTTACTTTTACAATATGCGAGGTGGCTATTTTCTTTGATTCCAGAGGCATGGGGTTTCTTGTTTCCTGCTGATACTGTATTTCTGAGAATTCGGGTGTGCTTATTGATTAAAAAACAATAATAATTTAAAAGAAGGCAGCAGCACACTTTATAAACCAGTTCCACACAGACACACCCCTGCTTTTCAGAGCGCCTTTAATTGTAGCCATTTTTCTTCACAGATGTAATGATGTCAGCAAGAACACTGATACAGTTGTTCCGGTCGCTGAATCCGCAGATGTTGCAGAAAAAATTCCGGGTAATGAAACGTTGAATTTTCATGCTCGGGGAGTGGGGGTTCAAATCCTCACTCTGCCATAGAAGCTGGCTGGGTAACCTTGGGCCTGTCACACACTTTCGGCCTAACTTACCTCAGAGGGTTGTTGTGAGGGGAAAACAGAGAGGAGGAGGTGAACAACTTAGTCCACCCTGAGCGTCTTGGAAGTAGGGTGGGATAAAATCTAAAATTTCCTAGGCAGGGTATCATGTTAGTTATTTCACTTCTCAGGGTTGCGTGCGGCCTGCAAAGAAGCCTCTAAGATGGATCTTCATGGTTAACTGAGCTTGGGTGTTTGTTCTAGAATCCAACTCGGGTTAAGAGATGTTTCTCAAAGCAGGTGCAGTGCTGTGATTTAAGAATGGGACACTTCAGAGGGACCTTTGTGAAGAGAGAGGCCAGAAACGTGAATCTTAGACCTTGCATGAGAACATTTACTTGGTGGCGATTGAGAGGGCCATCAAGTTGGGAGCCGACTTATGGTGGCTCTGTAAGGTTGGTAGGGAAAAATGAGAGGGAAAAACTTAACCTGACACAATTGAATCAAGTACCTGAAAGATAAGTTCGAAAGCGGGGCCAAAATCCAAAATGAAATATGAAGTAGTTGTATTTATTACAAAGACATTTAAAAGCATATCAGGGCCCAACACAAGCCTCAAAGTATGGTGAAAAGTAACATGTGTCCAAGAGAAAACAATAGTGACCTAACACGTTTCAACCCAATCGGGCCTTCCTCAGAGGTCAAACAATAGAAGGTACAAATAGGCTCTTATTACAATCAGAAGACAATACACAACTAGATATAGGACCAAAACAGGAGTGGTCAAAAAAAGAAATCAAAAGACACAAGATGTGAGGCATGTATTTTTATGCACGACTAGTTCATATTTAGGAGCTGTGGTGGCTCAAGTGGTTAAGACGCTGAACTGCAGGCTGTGGAAGGTCGGTAGTTCAGCAGTTCGAGACCCGGGTGCCGCATGATGGAGTGAGCTCCCGTCTCTAGCTCCAGCTCCTGCCAACCTAGCAGTTCGAAAGCAAGAAATCGCAAGTAGATAAATAGGTACCACTTCGGTGGGAAGGTAACAGCGTTCCGTGCGCCTTGGTGTTTAGTCATGCCGGCCACATGACCACGGAAACGTCTTCGGACAGCGCTGGCTCTTCGGCTTTGAAACGGAGATGAGCACCGCAAACCTAGAGTCGGATTCGACTGGCTTTCCTTTACCTTTACCTTTAGTTCATATTTCGTTTTGGATTTTGGCCCTGCTTTTGCTTTCTAACTTAGCTTTCAGGTACTTGACTCTGTAGTGTTTTCAAGGCATGAAATGAGCAGTGGTGGTTTTGCCATCGCCTGCCTCATAGTAGCAACCCTGGGCTTCCTTGATAGTCTCCCATCCAGTTCCTAACCAGGGCTGACCCTGCTTAGCTTCCAAGATCTGATGAGATCAGGCTAGACTGGACCATCCAGGCCAGGGCTAAGTATGCTTATGCTATATCAAACTGTGACTGCAAGTCTTTTTCTTCTGGTGTGCAGCCCGTAATCTTTAAGCTAATAATGACCTCACGTCCTTACAGAGAGAGAGAGAGAACTTCTGCGGATGGCCAGATTTTGTGTGGCATGAACACATCACTGGAAGAATCCTGTGGTGGTGCAGGTGGAATTATTTGCTTGTTTGAAAATAAATGTCTGGATTGCTTGTAGGGTAAACCGACAGAAGCCACCTCAGAAGCCAAAATCCACGAGTACGGGGAGTTGACCGCCAAAGACTATATTCCAGGAGCCGAAGTCCTGGACCTTGAGGCCAAGGAGGAAGATGGAAACCGTGAAGAAGGTTCTTTGGCTCTTTTTGCAGAATCATCATGACAGTGAAGTTTGGGTTAGGATGCAGAATGGGGCGGAGAGCCCGTCTGATCCGTTTCAAGGCCCTGGATTTTAGGAACAAAGTTAATGCTCTGCCATCCCAGTTTCTAATACTTCGATTAGGGTTGCCAGCTCTGGGTTGGGAAATACCCGGAGTTTTGGGGGCGGAGCCTGGGAAGGGCGGGGTTTAGGGAGGGACCTCAGCAAAGTACAGTGCCACAGAGTTCACCCTCCAAAGCAGCCGTTTTCTCCAGGGGAACTGATCTCTGTCGCCTGAAAATTAGTTGAAATCCCAGTAGATGGCCACCCACCGCCTGGTGGTTGGCTGCCCTAACTTTGATAGATTTTCTAAATAAGACTTGGTCTTTAGTGTATTTTAAGAAGAACTCTTCTTGTCCCCTGCACTTGGACTTCCTCTGGGCATGTGTGTGGCTCTGCTTCCCATGGCAGCCATTTTGTGTTTGGTTCCATTTCCCACGGCAGCCATTTTGTGTTTGCGCCCGCCATCCTACATCAGAATTCCAAAGGTGCCCACAGGCTCAGAAAGGTTGGAGACCCCCCCCCCCCGATGAGAACAACACTGAACCTGATAGACCAGTGGCCTGACGCAGTAATAAGGCAGCTTTGTAGTCTTTGGAGATGAGCATGCTTCCCTGGTGTAAAGTCTGAAGATGCTGAAACAGTTGAGTTTTTTCCTCCCCCATTTTGCATCTTTTTATCCCCTTGCAGATGGCTGGGAGAGTGCCAGTTTGAGTGAAGAGGATGAAGATGGAGAATGGATTGATGTGCATCATTCCTCAGATGAGGAACAGCAAGAGCTGGTAAATTTTATACCCTTATACAACTTGACTGCCTTCCATACAGGCTCTTTAACCCATATTGTAATGTTTCCCACATTAAAGCATTAAACACTGGCCTGTTGCAGTTAATGAATCTTTAATCTGGGCTTTCCAAAACCTGTTTTGCTTCAGTTCTGTTGCCCTTTATCCCTTAGGTGTGTGAAACCTTAAAGCAAATCTGTTTGGCTTCAGGAGCCAGTGAAAGGGACTATATTCTTTGCCCTTATCTAACATACTCTTAATAAAGCATTGAGTTGGCTGCTGTGCATGTGTTCGTGTTACCTCGTGTTACCTGTACTACCTGGATTAAATTGGTTATGGGGCTCTGTCGGTGACTTGTTACATGTACTATTCCACAAGTTACCTTTTCCAAGTTTTGGTCTTTTCCATCGGTAACATGGGAATTTATTGTGTATCTAATTTCTAACTTGACCCCTGCGCGTGGATCAAAAAGTCTGCACAGCGGGGCTATATAGGAGATAGGGGGGATGTTTATATGCTACCTTCCAGGTTTGACAAAACGTCTGAGGAGTTGGGGAGAAAGTTATAGGGTTAGGCAAAAAAACAAAACACCAAAACAGTAAAAACACTGAGAAAGAAAAAAGTTGGGTGGCATTATAGAATTTATAATATGGTTTTTAAAATATATATTTTTAAAAAAGAGAGAGAGATGAGGGGGGGGCACAGAAAAAGGAAAGGGGAATTGAAAAAGATTTTCAAGGTTTACAGTTATCCAGGACTTTCAAAGGTTATCATTATATAGATAATGTATAATATATAAACCATATATGTCAAATATAAGCTTATCCAAGAATATTTCCATTCTTTACTTTTTCCTAGTCTTATCATTGTAGCTGCAACAAAAATAGGAAGAGATTTAATTCTGTTTCTATACACCATACCTCTGTTTATTTCAAAAACTGTATTAAATTATTATTATTATTATTATTATTATTACTACTACTACTACTACTACTACTACTACTACATTTCTATACCGCTCCTTCCCGGCGGCTCGGAGCGGTTTACACATATACATTTAATCGCCTAACTAGGGCCACATACGTATCAGGGGAGATGGATGCCTTACCAGGCACCTACGCAGCGTAGGTCTTTCTGTGGCGGGGTCTTACTAGGACCAAGCGGTAGTGTCCTTCGGCGGAGGTCTTTTTTCCCGTCTCTTCGGCTCGGCTTCCTGGGATGGTCCTTTTATGGCACGTGGCTGCACGATGAGGTCGCAACTGGTCTCTGTCCCGGAGGCTCCAACCGTGCTTACGTCACCGCGCCTCCATGTCGCCTCCAATCGCCTCCCGTCTGCCGCCGATCCGTCGCCATGTTCTTTTTACCAGCTCGCCGCTCATCGATTCACCACATCGTCCAGCTGCCACTGCTGCCCTCCAATATTGGAGGTAGGGTAGGGTGCCCCCCCCCCCACCTTTAGGAACATTTGTCTAATTGCCGTTAAGGGCTTTCGAGCCGCTGGGTGGGCGGGAGCTAGGATAAGGCTTGGTCGGGAGCTAGGATAAGGCTTGGTCACCCCAGCTGCGGTGGGACTCGAACAGCTATTAAGGCTGTTCGGAGATAGTTTTACTTGCAGACATTTACTGCCTGCGCCACCGCTCCCAGTAATTAATTAACAAATTAATTAACACCACTCCCAGTTAATTAGAATTAACAGTTCTGTAATCTTCAGTTACAAAGTATATAACCTTAGATAACATTCATACTACATTCTTCTAAAATTAAACCGTATCCATTCTTAGATGGTTTTAAGGTATTGCTTTAAACTATACCTGTAAAACCATATGAAATGTAACAATGAAGCATTTAAATAAAATAAACATATATGAAATATTGAAGATATAGACAAATATAGATTTATCTAACAAATTAACAGATTATTGAACTGGTGTGGTAAAATGGCTTAGCGAGCTGTGAATCAGGAAGCCCCCAGTTCAAATAACAACTCTGCCATAAATTTATTTTTAGTTGTCACTGAGCAAGACACTGTTTTCTCAGCTTCACTCACCCATTTTGTGGATGGATAAATAATGGGCTAAGGGCCGCGGTGGCTCAGAGGTTAAGATGCTGAGCTGCAGGCCAGAAGGTCTGTAGCTCAGCAGTTCAAGACCCTAGTACTGCGTGACGGAGTGCGCGTCTGTCTCTGGCCCGAGCTCCTGCCAACCTAGCAATTCAAAAGCAAGAAATTGCAAGTAGACAAATAGGTACCGCTTCGGTGGTAAGGTTCCATGTGCCTCGGTGTTTAGTCATGCCAGCCACATGACCACAGAGAAGTCTTCGGACAGCGCTGGCTCTTCAGCTTGGAAACAGAGATGAGCACCGTCCCCTAGAGTCAGATTCGATTGGCTTTTGAGCAAGGGAAACCTTTACCTGTAAATAATGGGCTACCTTAAAGAATTGCTGTGAAGACTAAACTAATCTAGGAGGAGTGCTTTGGAAGGCTCAGACAGCCCTGTAGAAGTGCAAAGCCGTCTTAATGCCCACAACAAAACACCCTTTCCCCTGTTTGCCTCTGTGTATTAAAGGCCGAGACAGTTAAAGCCATGCCTGCGGAGGAGAGGAAGGCCAAAGCCGCAGCTGTCAGCACCAACAGGCTTCTCACCCAAGAAGAATTCCAGAAAATACGCCTTGCCCAGCTGAGAAAAGAAGTCAACTCTGCACCGGGCAAAGCTGCAAAGAGGAAGAATATTGAGATAGACAGCGAAGATGAAAGGAGGTAAAAGACCTGGAACTCACCCTTCCAATGCTATAAAGAACATCCTTCTAAGATGTTCTTGCTTGTCCTTGAACATCTTGGTGGTGATGCTCAGAGTGTTGGCCTGTTATCTGGGAGACCCAGGTTCGAGTCTCTGCTCTCACATGGAAGCTTGTTTGGGTGACCTTGGGCCAGTCAGACACTCTCAGCCTAACCTACTTCACAGGGCTGTTGTGAGCATAAAATGGATGAGCGGAGAACAATCTAAGCCGCTTTGGGTCCTCACTGGTGAGAAGAGTGGGGTGTATAAACTGTCACCTGAGGCCCTCTTCCATTTATCTCTTTTTTCAAAGAGGGGAGGTAGATCGCAGCAAGAAGTGGGGCCGTCTCAGTTGTGACACCCCAACTTTGGGCCCTGACCTGGATAGCCCAGGCTAGTCCAATCTCGTCAGATCTCAGAAGCTAAGCAGGGTTGGCCTTGACTAGTATTTGGAAGGGCAACCTCCAAGGAATACCAGGGCCGTGACGCAAGCCACCTCTGAAATGTCTCTTGCCTTAAAAACAAGTCTAGCTCGCCACCTAGTGGTGCACAACACTAAAAGAGCTAAAACGTTTGGCTGCCAGACAGTCTTAGGATCTCCTGCCTGTACTACACACAATGCCATACAATGATAATAAGAATAATAATGCCCCAACTTTGGAGTGCCCTCTCCTTGGAGACTTGCCTGGCATCAGACCTGATTTGCTCTTCTAAGCAATGGGAATGTACTTCCTTCAACAGTTACGGCCAGTGTTCCCTCTAAGCTGAGTTAGTGTGAGCCAGCTCACAGTTTTTTAGCCTCCAGCTCACACAATTTTGTCTCAGCTCAGGAAGGGATGGCTCCAGAGGAAACTAAATTATGCAGTAGCCAAATCGCTCGCTCACAACTTTAATGCCAGTAGCTCACAAAGTAGAATTTTTGCTCACAACACTCCACAGCTTAGAGGGAGCATTGGTTACGGCCACCATTTTATGGGCATCTTTTGCCAGTTGTGTATATTGACAGTGTGCGGTTTTATTTGCCACCCTCTGTCTCCTGATCGGCTTCACGTATTTCAGGATAGTATCGCACGCACGCTTATTTACGGTGGAGAAGCGTCTTTGTGGTGACATGATGCCGTATTACCGTTTCTTCCGGTTCATTTCTTCCAGAGGAGAGCTGCTTTCCCTCAGGGACATCGAACATCTGCATAAGAAGCCCAAGTCAGACAAAGAGACGAGATTGGCCACAGCAATGGTGAGGCGTCCTGTCGTGTTTTTAAATCCTGAATGGGTGCCGTACGGTCTCCTCGGAGGTCCCTAAGTCAGCTTCCAACATTTGTGAAATGAAAAACAGGCTCTTGGGGGAGGGGACAAAATAGGCACATTTCAGTTTGAGGGCGGGGTGGGGGGAATCCAGCTGAAGCAGAAGAAGATGTTTCTGGATCAGACCCATGGAGAGTTCATCTTAATGGAGTGGGGGCAGATCAGTCTTTAAAAATTTGTGCTAGTGTCGGGACCTGGGTCTGTTGGGGAAGGCTCGCTGTATCCGCATCCTCCAGGGCACGACTTTTGGCTAGAGAATTCGGACGTGGCCGTAGATGATATCAGAGAAGGGGGTTAGATGACACCCAAATTCCTCTCTCCTGCTTGCAGGCTCTCAGTTGCGTTCTCTCTCTATCTTTCTCTCTGTGTGTGTCTCTCTCTGTCTCTGTCTCTCTCTGTCTGTCTCTCTCTCTCTCTGTCTCTCTCTCTGTCTTTCTCTCTCTCTCTCTCTCTCTCTCTCTGTCTCTCTCTCTCTCTCTGTCTCTCTCTCTGTCTCTGTCTCTCTGACTCCCTCTCTGTCTGCCTGTCTCTCTCTGTCTCTCCCCCATGCTCTTCCTCCCTGGCCAGCCTTGAGCGCCCTGCTTCAGTCTTCCCTGTCTGGGCAAGGTCCAGTCCTGAGTCAACCAAATCCCTCCTTCTCTCTGAGGAGGATCTGTGTGATGGTCAACCCTTGCTCCCAATGGGTTGCCCTTTCTCTTTCCTTGAACCCGCCCCTTAGCCTCATTCTCGGTGTGAAGTGAGGCTGGCGCACCGGCTTCCCATCTCCCAGAGCGCCCACCCCTCGTTTCTCCCCACCATCCAACTCATCTCCCCGTGGGGGGGGCAGTCCCTCCGGCGCTCCGCACTTTGAGCGGGGGGGGGGCCCGCGTGATGACATCGCTTCCTCAAATCATCCAGGTTTGTAAGTGCAGGGGTGGGGCTGGGACCCTATACCCCAGACAGCTCGTTTGCACTGTTTTTCACCACACCCTCAAAAGTGCTGGGTTACCTCAAACAAGGATGTGGGTTTCAGCAGCTTGCCTTTCTGTAGCTTCTTTGGTGTCCATGGCCTCCGTTTTCCTATCCAGTACTCCTTGCCCCCTGAATTGTGACCTTGACACCCTTCCCACCCAAACCCCATTCAATCCCAGGCCATCAACTCCTCCCTTCTGTCTTTCAGGCGTGACCTTGGATCAGTTATGAGTTGTCTAAAGAGCTATTCTCTCAGGAACAGTCCTCGAAAGAGCTCTCTCAGCCCCACCTACCCCACCGGGTGTCTGTTGTGGGGAGGGGCAGCGACAGGAAGATTGTAAGCCGCTCTGAGATTCCGAGGCAAGGGCGGGGTATAAATCCAATCTCCTCTTCTCCTTCCTTCCTTCCTTCCTTCCTTCCTTCCTTCCTGGTCCCTCTTCCTCGATCCCTCCCCTCTCCGCCATTCTGTCTCCCTGCCAATGTCGGTTCCTCTTCTGCCAACAGCACAAAGCCCTCTCTGGAGCTTTCACACACGCTGGACAATCCACTTTCAGCACGCTTTGCAACTGGGTTTTACAGAGTGAAATGGCAAAACCCGCTTCCAAACAATCACCGAGAGTCCATCGACAGTGGATTATTCACCGTGTGCGACAGCGCCGAGAGCTCAGTGTCTTCTTCTCTCCTCCCTCCGTGAAAGTTTTTCCCTCCAGCCTCCCTTTTCCTCTGCTACCTCTGGGACCCCGTCCCTCTTTACCCCCCCCCCAGGGTCTCATCTCAGAGCCCTCCCGTGAGCACAGATCGGAGCAGGCAAAGAGCCAGGGGTTTCCCCTCTTTGTGGTTTTCAAGGCAAGAGACCTTCAGAGGTGGTTTGCCATTGCCTGCCTCTGTGTCGCGACTCTGGCATTCCTTGGAGGTCTCCCTTCCAGTTACTGATGAGGGCCGACCCTGCATAGCTTCTGAGATCTGATGAGATCGGGCTAGCCTACGCCACCCAGGTCAGACCCAAGATTACGTATCACCATTCGATAAAATACTTTGAGTCATAGAGCTGGAAGAGACCTCCAAGGACATCTAGCTCAACCCCCTGCACAATGCAGGAAATCCACATCTACCTTCCCCCCCCCACCCCTCAGTGACCCCTGCTTCATGCCCAGAAGATGGCAAACAAGACCCAACAGGATCCGTGGCCAAACTGGCCTGGAGAAAATCGCTTCTTGACCCCAAAGTGGCCATCGGCATTTCCCCGGACATGTAAGATAGGGGCCACGAGAACTAGGCACTGAGGCAACCCTTCCTGCCCTCCCTTCTCGTGATCTGCCTAAGTTCACAGGATCTGCATTGCTGTCAGATGGCCACCTAGCCTCTGCTTAAAAACCTCCAAAGAAGGAGAGCCCCCCACCTCCCGAGGAAGCCTGTTCCACTGAGGGACTGCTCTGTCAGGAAAGTTCTTCCTCATGTTTGGCCAAAAACTCTTCTGATTTAATTTCAACCCATTGGTTCCAGTCCGACCTTCCGGGCAACGAAAAATAACTCTGCACCCATCCTGTATATGAGATCCCTTCAAGTACTTGAAGAGGGTTATCGTATCACTTGTAGCCGTTTCAGAGGGCGGCCATGTTGGTCCGCAGTAGAGCAGCTAGCTGCCTTTGAGCCCGGTGGCCCCTTAGAGAACAACGAGATCTGACGAAGGGAGATTTGACTCTCAAAAACTTATATCCCGAAAATCTTGGTTGGTCTCTTGAGGGGTTACCGGACTCGAATTTAGCTAGACTTGTAGCAGAGGTGGGATTAGGGTTAGCAGCCTCCAGGCGGGGCCTGGACAACTCCCTGAATGACAACTTATTTCCAGACTATGGAGAAATGGCTGGTTTGGGGGGTTGGCTCAGTCTCATTATAAAGAAAAAAACAGAAGGAAACAACAAGGACCCAGCAACCCTAGAGAGTAGAACAATACAAAAAAGTTGCCGAACAAGTTCAAAGTCTTTGTTGTCAGAAAATTCTAATATCAGTTGGGAGCTGTGTTCAGCCACTTGTGAATTGACTTTGTGAACAGAAAGAATGACTACAAACTGAGATGTGACAAAGACTTTGGTCGAAACGAACAGCTAAAATCTCGAGCAAGTTCGTCTTGTTGGGACTTCGGTCTCTGAATGTGCAGCTACTGAAACAAAAAGAATATGTATTAAATTACTAATATTTTGCATAAGTATATTGAACTTGTTCGGCAACTTTTTTGTATTGTTCTACTCTCAGTCTCATTATACCCTGCTGAGCTCCCGCCCGCCCCAGGCTCTGCCCTCAGATCTCCAGAGCCAGTTTGGTAGAGTGGTTAGAAGCACGGATTCTAATCTGGGAGAACCGGGTTTGATTCCCCACTCCTCCACATGCAGCTGCTGGTGTGACCTTGGATCAGTCACAAGCAATGTTCCCTCTTGTGAGCAAAAATTCTAGTTTGTGAGCTACTGGCATTAAAGTTGTGAGCCAGCGATTGGGCTGCTACATAAATTAGCTTGCTCTGGAGCCATTCTTCCTGAGCCAAGACAAAAATGTGTGAGCCGGAGGCTAAAAAACTGCGAGCTAGTTCACACTAACTCAGCTTAGAGGGAACACTGGTCACAAGTTCTCTCAGAGCTGTTCTCTCAAGGGCAGTCCTCGAGAGAGAGCTCTCTCAGCCCCATCTACTTCACGGGGTGTCTGTTGTGGGGATAGGAAGGCAAAGGAGATTGTAAGCCACTCTGAGACTCCTTCAGGTAGTGAAGGGTGGGGTATAAATCCAATCTCCTCTTCTTCCTGACCTGGCACTGGCAACCCCAGGCAGGATATCTGTGCATGAAACAAGGGTCTAGATATCTGGCCAGGATTGAAGTCTTTCTAACTGGGATTGTTGTTGTTTTTTTAAAACTGGAACAACATAAAGCCAAAATAGGGTTGCCATGTTATGGAAATATTTACTCCCCCCCTCTCCAAAAAGGAAACACACAGACTGAATTTAACATCCTCAAGCCATGCCTGTAACCAATGCTCCCTCGAAGCTCTGGAGTCTCGTGAGCAAAAATTCCACTTTGTGAGCGACTGGCATTAAAGTTGTGAGCGAGCAATTTGGCTGCTGCATACATTGGTTTGCTCTGGAGCCCTCCCTTCCTAAGCTGAGACAAAAACGTGTGAACTGGGGGCTAAAAACCTGTGAGCTAGCTCACACACACTCGGCTTAGAGGGAATACTGTAGAATACTGTAGAGCAATGCTCCCTCGAAGCTGTGGAGGGTCTAGATATCTGCCCAGGATTGAAGTCTTTCTAACTGGGATTGTTGTTGTTTTTTTTTAAACTGGAACAACATAAAGCCAAAATAGCATTGCCATGTTATGGAAATATTTACTCCCCCCCCCCCCAAAAAAGGAAACACACAGACTGAACTTAACATCCTCAAGCCATGCCTGTAACCAATGCCCCCTCAAAGCTCTGGAGTCTGGTGAGCAAAAATTCCACTTTGTGAGCGACTGGCATTAAAGTTGTGAGCGAGTGATTTGGCTGCTGCATACATTGGTTTGCTCTGGAGCCCTCCTTCCTGAGCTAAGGCAAAAATGTGTGAGCCGGAGGCTGAAAAACTGTGAGCTGGCTCACAGTAAGTTTAGAGGGAATACTGCCTGTAACCCACCCTCTCCACCCCCACCCCGCTGCATTGCGGTATATTTTTTTTAGAAGACTTGCCCGTTGCTCAGACCTTATTTTTCTGTCAGAGAATATGTTCACAATGAGTATCTCTCCCGGGAGGGGGGGGGGGAAGCTTTCAACAGATACTGGACACTGGGCAGAGGTTTATCCAGGTGTCCTTAGTCCTAATTGTTGGGTCTCCCCGAAAAGGGCCTAGTCTGCGAAAGCCTGGCCAGGTTTTTGTCATTACTGTTGGCAGGTGCGGACTTGCCCCATTGCTTTCCGCTGTGCTGCAGCCAGCTGGGTCCAGGCCAAGGGCCCTGTGGCTGCTTGGCTGAGAGTCAGCTGGGAACGGCACCACGGATGCCAGCAACAGGCGTGTCTGCTGCCATCTTGCCCCCAAGGGCCTGGATTTGAGTCGAGCTGTCTGCACCGCAAGGTCTACTTTTCTCTGCTTGCTCGCGGGTGGTTGGAATGTCCTGTTCCTCCCACATGCATGTGATCCGATCACGAACTCAACTGCGTCAGGCAGGGAGGGTTTTTTGCCAAGAAAGGGGGGGGTTGTGTGTGCAAGAACCAGGGCTATTTTGGGGCAGGAACGCACAGGAACGGAGTTCCGGCTGGCTCCCAAGTTGGCCACACCCAGCATGAACTCATTAGCATAATAGGCCACGCCCAACAACAGAAACTCATTCAGATTGGCTACATTAGAGGTGTGTGGCCTAACATGCAAAGGAGTTCCTGCTACAAAAAAAGGCCCTGGGTTTTGACAACGAACAAGGTAAACAGAATAAGAAGCAAAAGGTGGGTGTGGCTGGATAACCACACTTCTGGTAACATGGGGGTGCGGCCTAATGTGCTAATGAGCTGTGCTGTCAGGGGTGTGGCTCAATATGCTAATGAGTTCCTGCTGTTGGGTGTGGCCTACTATGCTAATGAGTTCCTGCTGGGCTTTTTCTACAAAAAGAGCCCTGCGCGGCGAGAACGAATTTTCAGCCATTTCCTCTCCCCCACTTTCAGGCTGGCAAGACGGACCGCAAAGAATTCGTGAAAAAGAAAACGAAACTGAATCCGTTCGCCAGCTCCACGAATAAGGAGAAGAAGAAGCAGAAGAACTTCATGATGATGAGATACAGCCACAACGTCCGGTTTAAAAATAAGCGGTCCTTCAGGGAGAAGCAGGCAAGTGGCCCGTGACTGGGTTCGCCTCACTTGTTTCCAACTAAGAAAAGGAGATAGGATAGGGGTCCCCAACACTTCTGAACCCATGGTCACCTTTGGCATTTTGGTACAGCGTGGTGGGCCCAGCCACAAAATGGCTGCCGCAGAGGCCAGAGCTAGTCTCTGTTTATGCTCTGGTTTATACAGTTAAATCTCTTGATAAATCCCAAACATCAGCCATGATATTTTTTTCCGCTATAATCTTTATTTAATTCTTTATTTATAGAAAACATTTACGAGGTGCTTCTCTTCGTTACGGAACTCAGGCTTAGATAAAAAGCACATAGGATAAAATACATTATAAAACCAAAATTTATAATCGCTGCCGAGGACTGCTACGTAAGAACGTAAGAGAAGCCCATGTTGGATCAGGCCACTGGCCCACCCAGTCCAACACTCTGGGTCACACAGTGGCCAAAAATACCAGGTGCCATCAGGAGGTCCATCAGTGGGGCCAGGACACTAGGAGCCCTCCCAATGTTGCCCCCCCACCAAGCACCAAGAATACAGAGCATCCCTTACCCCAGCCTGAGAGTTCCTATCTATACCTTGTGGCTAATAGCCACTGATGGACCTCAGCTTCAGACGTTTATCCAATTCCCTTTTGAAGCCATCCATGCTTCTAGCCGCCACCACCTCCTGTGGCAGTGAATTCCATGTGTTAATCATTCTTTGGGTGAAGAAGAACTTCCTTTTGTCCATTCTAACCCGACTGCTCAGCGATTTCATTGAGTGCTCACGAGTCCTTGTGTTTTGAGAAAGGGGGGAAAGTCCTCCTTTCTCTACCTGCTCTATCCCATGCATAATCTTGTAAACCCCGATCATGTCACCCCTCAGCCATCGTTTCTCCAAGCTAAAGAGACCCAAGCGTTTTAGGCCTCGCCGCGTCTCAGGCCTCACAGCTGGTGCCCGTGGGGGTGAGGGGAAAATTGGGGGGGGGCCTCTTGAAGCCGTCCATGCTTGTAGCTGCCACCACTTCCTGTGACAGTGAATTCCAAGTGTTAATCACTCTTTGGGTGAAGAAGGACTTCCTTTTATCCGTTTTAACCTGACTGCTCAGCAATTTCACTGAGTGCCCACGAGTCCTTGTATTGTGAGAAAGGGAGACAAGTACCTCTTTCTCGACCTGCTCTATCCCATGCACAATCTTGTGAACCTCGATCATGTCACCCCTCAGCCGTCATTTCTCCAAGCTAAAGAGCCCCAAGTGCCTTAACCTTTCTTCATAGGGAAAGTGTTCCAACCCTTTTATCATTCCAGTTGCCCTTTTCTGCACTTTGTCCAATGCTACAATATCCTTTTTGAGGTGTGGTGACCAGAACTGTGCACAGTACTCCAAATGAGATCGCGCCATCGATTTATACAGGGGCATTATGATACGGGCTGATTTGTTTTCGGTTCCTTTCCTAATAATCCCCAGCATAGCGTTGGCCTTTTTTATTGCAGTTGCACACTGTCTCGACATTTTCATTGAGTTATCTACTACGACTCCAAGATCTCTCTCTTGGTCAGTCTCTCTTGGTCGAGGACTGCTACTAAACTTAACCAAATGCAGTCCTAAATAAAAACTGTCTTCAGCTGCCTCCTAAAGACCAGGGCTATTTTTGGGCAGGAACGCACAGGAACGGAGTTCCGGCTGGCTCCCAAGTTGGCCACACCCAGCAGGAACTCATTAGCATAATAGGCCACACCCAACAGCAGAAACTCATTAGGATTGGCTACATTAGGGTGGTGTGGCCTAACATGCAAAGGAGTTCCTGCTGCAGAAAAGACCTGGCTTTTGACAACAAGCGAGGTAAACAGAATAAGAAGCAAAAAGTGGGTGTGGCTGGATAACCACACTTCTGGTAACATGGAGGTGTGGCCTACTGTGCTAATGAGCTGTGCTGTCAGGGGTGTGGCCTAATATGCTAATGAGTTTCTGCTGTTGGGTGTGGCCTATTATGCTAATGAGTTCCTGCTGGGCTTTTTCTACAAAAAGAGCCCTGCAAGACTGAAGGTGAGAAGACCTCTCTGGGGAGGTTGTTCCACAATCGTGGGGCCGCCACTGAAAAGCCCCTCTCTCGTGTACCCACCAAATGAGCTTCTTGATGAGACAGCCTCTCCCTGTGATCTTTCTTCTCAGACAGGAACATATGGGAGAACACAGTCCTTCGGATACCCAGGTCCCAAGCCATACAGTGCTTTAACCCGCCGGTCCCTTTAAGGTGCCACAGAACTTTTTCGTTTTGTTTGTTTACAAGGAAGGAGAGCAATTGCAACGCCGGTTAAAATGCATTCCGCCACAGAGTTACACTTCCATGCAATGAAATGATAAAGCATTCTGCGTGTAATGCTAAAGAAATTTAAAAGAGGAAATTGCATCCCGGGAAACAGGTTGTTTTCTATGAGCGGCCCAGGAAGTAGTGGGCATGGGGAAATTGTATGTTGCTTGGGGTGACTGTACCTTGACCCATCCCTGACTTCCCCAGATGGAACTCCCCCCTCCCCTCCACAGGATATGCCTTCAGCAAAGGAGGCATTTATGTTTAAACGCAATACAGAGTCAGGTCTCCAGAATGGTAAAGGGAGATGTTAATTTTGCTTCGGCCGCTTTTCAGTTAATCGCTCGCCTTCTTCGCGAGTCAGGTGGATGCCTTCCGGGGAAGAGGCGATCGGCCTGACTCAGGCTTGTGCTTTTGTCCCGAAGGTTAGGCACAATTTCATTTGTCTTATCTGCCTCATCCACACACCTCAAATTACACTCGGCCTTTTATTTAAATTGCTTGCTCCCCGTTTAATTACGTTGTTGTGTTTCCGGAGTCTTCCAGACTATGGAGAACTGTTTCGCAACAAGCTGTGTTGTGTGCGCAGTCAGGATATTTTAAAGCAAAAAATTCCCTAGAGTTCCAGTCAGTGTTCCCTCTAAGCTGTGGAGTTTTGTGAGCAAAAATTCTACTGTGTGAGCGACTGGCATTGAAGTTGTGAGCGAGCCATTTGGCTACTGCATAAATTAGTTTGCTCTGGAGCCCTCCTTCCTGAGCGAAGACTAAAATCTGTGAGCTGGAGGCTAAAAAACTGTGAGCTAGCTCACACTAACTCAGCTTAGAGGGAACACTGGTTCCAGTACAGGGTGCAACTAGGGAGCCTTCGTAAGTGTTTACCACTCTGAATCAGTGTTCCCTCTAAGCTGACTTAGTGTGAGCTAGCTCACAGTTTTTTAGCCTCCGGCTCACACGTTTCTGTCTGAGCTCAGGAAGGACGGCTCCGGAGCAAGCTGATTTATGCAGCGACCAAATCGCTCGCCCACAACTTTAATGCCAGTAGCTCACAAAGTAGAATTTTTGCTCACAAGACTCCACAGCTTAGAGGGAGCATTGCTCTGAATATCTGATGGCTTTTAGGTCCGCCCCCCCCCCTTTAATTTCCTAAATTGAATTTCTAGTCCTCATGGTTGTGAAGAAGCAAGAAGAAGTATAGGGAAATGGTGAAAAACTCAGCAGCTGTGATTGCCAATGGTTAAGGCAGGGGTCCCTGATGTGGTGCCTGTTGACAACCATGGCATCGCCATGTTTCCTGGCGCCCACAAGTGTTTTTTGGAAAGTGGGCTGGGCCAGGTGGGAGTTTTGCAGAGCAAGGCTTTTGATTGAGTATTGGAGAGCTGATTGGCTGGGCAGATTTTTAAAAGCCAGTTTGGTGTAGTGGTTAAGTGCACGGACTCTAATCTGGGAGAACTGGGTTTGATTCCCCACTCCTCCACTTGCAGCTGCTGGATGACCTTGGGCAAACCATAGTTCTGTCAGAGCTGTCCTTGAAAGAGCAGTTTTTCTCAGAGTTCTCTCAGCCCCACCTACCTGACAGGGTGTCTGTTGTGGGGAGGGAGGAGGGAAAGGAGTGTGTAAACCGCTCTGAGACTCCGTGTGAAGGGCGGGGTATAAATCCAATCTCTTCTCTTCTTTCTTCACTGTGTGACTGGAGGTAAGCTGCAGCAGCCATTGCATGGCTGGCTCTGCCTCTTGCGGGAGCCATTTTGTGGCTGCACCTGCCACACTTGCATCACAGAGGTGTCAAACTCATTTGTTACAAGGGCTGGCTCTGACATAAATGTCAATTCGTTGGGCCGGGCCATGTGTGTCATAAAGTGAAATGCCCGGTGCCAGAGATATCTATATATCTAATAGCGAAGGCGCCCCCTGCGTGCGGATATCTAAATCCGCACATCGGGGGCACCTGGGGGGCAGGGAGGTTTTCCTGCACACTTGGGGCAGTCCCCAGGTGTGCACAAAAATCTAAAAAGTAGAAAAAAATATAGGGGGGATATTTAAATCCCCCCAAAAGTAAAAGAGCCTTCCCTGCGCATGCGCAGGGAACGCTCTGGGAACTCTGCGGCGGGCTGGCTGTTGGAAGCCGCTCAGGCCTTGCCGCAGGAGCGGGGTGGGGGGAGGGGGGAGGAGATCGGCGGCGGTGGAGGGAACCGCCAAAGATGAGGGGCAGGAGGAGATCAGCGGTGGAGGAGGAGACCGCCGGAGCCAGGGGGGAAGGGGAAGAAGGAGATCGGTGAGGCCTGGCGGCTGGAAGCTGCTCGGGCCTTACCACTGGAGCCGGGGGTGGGGGAGGAGGCCGGGGAAGGGGGGTGGAGAAGATCGGTGAGGCCCGGTGGCTGGAAGCTGCTCGGGCCTTGCCGC